AGCAGCTTGTAATGATAGCTGGGTCCTGAAAGCTCACACTTGCTGGCCCAAAGAGGGCCAATTCTCCTCTGCTTTCCTGCCTCCCACACCCCACCACAGGCTGGGCTGCTTTGCCACATTTTTCGGAACACTGACAGCAGCAACCACAATGGGCCATGTCTGTTCAGAGCTGCTCTCCCTCCAGGCACTGAGTAGGCCAGACATAGAGACCTCACACTGAAGCTCTACTCCAGCACACTATGAGCCACCGGTGTTTGCCGCCCCCTCCTCCAGGTGCAGATGCTTTTAGAAAACAAGTTGCTTTCAGAAATACACACTTCGATTGCCAAATGATCCCACTCCAATAGATAACCAGTCTCTCTAGGCCAAGAAAAAAGGCTAAATTTGACCTGCGCTCTGCTTGGATTTCTAAGGTATTTGTTGAATAGTCATATACTTATACCTCTTCACATTTCAGATGTACATGTGCTTGCACAGTTTTCAAGTGTCCACTGTTCACTTGGGTGGGAAAGTATGATATTCTTATGTAGTACAGGCTTTAAACAAAGCTACACCATCACAGAAGTGGCAAAAGAAATCTTAAGATGAATGAGGTCTTGTTTTTAGCCATAGAAATTCCTTAAGAATCCAGTCTCTAATGTACATTCTGGGTCCTCAAAGCTTGAATACAATTTTGAGAGTTGTCAGAACTCTGCCTTTGCTATTTCACTGTTCTCTGGCATCCTCACTGAAAGGTAGGGAAGAAAAAAAGGGCTGGCTTTGTCTCCTCCTCTAATCCATCTTCCTCGCAGTATCTGAACAATCTAGCTGAAGCAACTGTCTTATGCTTTGCCACCATCCATGAGAAGGAGGGCAAGTTCCTTCCCAGGGCCTCCCAAACTCTCCCCAGATGAGTTGAACCGTCTCTCCAGCTTCAATCCTTGCCACTAGGAGCTGACCCCTAACCTCCCACACATCACTAAACAGCATTCTATTGCCCACAAAGACATTGTTTTTGTTTCTTTCTTTCTTTTTTTTTTCTAGAAGCAGCTCCTGCTCTTCTTCTAGCCTTTATAGTTCAGTCTTTCAGGAAGGCTGCTTTGGCCTTCTTCCCATTCCCATCCCAAGTTGGGTTAGAAACCCCTCTGGGAGGATTTATTATTTCTTAGGAATATTTCTGTCATGCATGTGCCAGGCTACTACTATCATCTGTTTAAGTGGCTGTCACTCTCAATAGATTGTGAGTTATTTCACACTCAGGGATGGGCCTTTTATTATTCCCATTAGTTCCAAAGCCTGAATGCTCTTAAGAGCTTAGTGAAAATGATTTTTTTTAATAAACAAACAAACAGAATGGAATAAAAACCTTTCTAGAAATTGCCACTCAATGTCTAAGTAGGTTAAGAAGTTGAAATTATAGGCAAAATTTTCAGGTTTTTTTTGGGGGCGGGGGGGTCCAGTTGTGGGGCCTGAACTCTGGGCCTGGGCGCTGTCCCTTAGCTCTTCAGCTCAAGGCTAGCGCTCTACCACTTGAGCCACAGCGCCACTTCCGGCTTTTTTTCTTTTTGCTTATATGGTGCTGAGGAATCGAACCCAGGGCCTCAGGCATGCAAGGCAAGTGCTCTACCACTGAGCCACCTTCCCAGCCCCCCCAAATTTCAGTTTTTGAGTTTTTGGAAATACCTAACAATTTTAATTTTCTATAGTAGTCTTCCAGAATAGTAGAAATAACTCAAAATCAGCTTTCTTACTCTAGTAAGAAGTCCCTTATCTTGTTGCCTAGCAAAGCAATTAAATAGAGCTTGTGAGCTATAACTAAAGCATTTGTCAGAGGTAAACTCATAGCATTCAATCCAGTTTAAAGAAAAAACCACCGAATGAATAAAAGCAAGTACCCAAAAGAAATCATAAGATTCATTATCAAGAAGATAATGAATTAGAAAATTAAAAAAAACAGCACAGATAAAAACTAGGAACAGAAAGTGAGGAAAGTAGGAAGCTAAAAGCACTTAAAGTGGTTTCTAGACATGAAACTGTTTCTGATGACAGATAAATTTAAGCTGAGGCCAGAGAGACTATCAGAGCTCCTACTTCTTTGTTTGGATACCCATCTTTCTCTAAGAAGTCACAGACATTTATCATTTGTCTCAGTGAGTAAGAAATGACAACAACTTTCTTTTAAGAAAGAAATTACGAAACAGCTAGTGAAGAAATGTACCAGAGCCTGTATTAAACCATTAATTTGTGTTATTAGTTATTTGCCAGAAAAAGAACAGATAGAATTTTGCAAATTCCAAATTAAGGAACTATTTTCTCTGAAGAGAAGGGGCTAAATATCATAAACTGAGTTTTAAAGAGTGCATTTTAGCCAACAACTTTCATGAGTCAGAAACCATTTACTCCTGAGAGCCTTTATGACTAAATTAATGTTTTCCAAGTATACGGCATTTACACAATACAAGGAGGCTTTCCTATCAACAAAGATGCTGAGGTTGACGGAAGTTAAGTGAACTACTCAAGTTCACACAGATGTCTGGATAGCTAATCCAACTACTTTTTTTTTTAAATAAACGTATTTTTTTATTGTGAAAATACTGTACAGAGGGGTTACAACTACATGGGCAAGATAGTGAGTACATTTCTTATCAAGCATTGTAGCCTCCTCCTTTGTTTACTCTTCCCATCCCTACTCATCCTCCCCTCTCCAATCCTTCCCCCCCCCCCCCCAAGTTGTAAAGTTCATTTTCGACATGACAACTTGTACTTCTCATTTGTGTGTGTATGTGTGATTAAGTGATTACATAATTTCCCAAATTTCACAGTATTGTGGGATAGTGATGCTCATTTAAAGTCACAAACTCATTCTAACTTTCCTGGAGCAAATTGTCTATCACGGTCTATAACATATAACGGTGTACACATATACACCATACATGTGATCAGCAGCATGGGGTTATTTAGTAGTGGTTTGAGCAGATGAGTGGAAGTTCTTTGTTTCTTAAGTCCTGTTAATTCTGTCGTGTCACCTAACATTTTGGATTTAACATCCATATATCAGGGAGACCTGATATACCGTTTGTCTCTCTGCTCTTGGCTTACCTCGCTCAACATTTCTTCTAGCTCCATCCATTTCCCTGCAAATGCCACCAACAACTTCTTTAGTAATGCACAATATTTATTTCATACTACAGCACCAGGCACAAAGCACCTTATGTTCAAGACTCTGAACTTTAAAACTGACATCTAATGGCAGGTTCAGATCCTTCTAAACAGCAATCTGATGGACCTGAATGTACTGACTGAAGGTTTCTTGCAGATAAGAAAGTTGGACTGAAGAAGGACTGCTTCCCAAGAGGAACTTATAAACCTTGACTTTTTTCTTTCTCTCTCTTTCTCTCTTTTTTTTGCTGGTCCTCGGGCTTGAACTCTGGGCCTGGGTTCTGTCCCTGACCTACTTTTCCTCTTTTGAGCACTCTACCACAGGAGCCACATCACCACTTCTAGCTTGAGTAGTTTATTGGAGATAAGAGCCTCACAGAGTTTTCTGCCTGGGCTGGCTTTGAACTGCAATCCTCAGATCTCAGCCTCCTGAGCAGTTAGGATTACAGGTATGAGCCATAGGCACCTGGCTAAACCTTGAATTGCTACAGGATTAGGATCTTACTATTTTACAGGCTCTGAAATAGAACAAATAATAGGAAATGAGAACATGTAGACAGTAATATTTGCTCTTTTTCTTTGTTACAGTTATGAAGAAAATTATTTATTAATCTTGTTGCTTCCAGGTATTCATTTATAAACTGGAAACTGCAATCACGGACCTCATGACAGAAGTATAACATATCATTGGCCCATTTCTCATAGACATTTCTGAGTTTAAAATTCTTTGTCCTACTATGGTCAACATTCTATACCACTTTCCCATCATTCGATCACTAAAATCTACCTCTTTGATTCCTTTCAAATCTCAGCTCTGACTTTGTGAAGTTTCTTCTTTCTACTTCACATTAGATTCCTTCATCTATACTCTTTAAAATACAACGGATTTGAAAAAGAAAACCATTAACACCAGGAGAATGCCAAAGCAAATCTAAAGTCACAGGGGAGCCTTACCTTTCACTCTGGCTCTAATTGTGTTTACAAACAACGAAGGTACCACCAGGGAGCAGTGTGTTACCTTCTTGAAGCATGTATGTGAACTCATTTTCACCTTCTTTTTTTTACGCTTTGATTATTTATCACAGGTATGACCCATAAAAGAATCTGACACAATAGAGATACAGCAAAATATAATCATGAAGTTAAATTTTAAGTTGTTTGGAAGACTTTGATGCCATTCAGCATTAAGGAAGGTATAGCTTGTTTTTCTAATTGTACACATATGGATTACCAGAACAAACAAAGAGAACACAAAGTTTTTAAAACTGTCATTTAACTTTACTATGTTGTAAACTCATTTTATACTCATATATGCTGGTACTTATTTTTCTGTCCATGAGTTTACTGAATGACCTTGATCACCTCATTTATTTCAGACTCAGTTTCCCCCATCTGTAAATTGGAGAGAATGATATATATTGGCTAAGGGTATAATTCTTTATTAATCTGTACCTATAAAATATTCTGAAATCATAAAATAAAAGCAGTATAGTGAGGAGGGGAATAAAGGTAATGTTACAATGTTCTGGTAAAAAGATTTCTAAACCTAGGACTTACTGGAAATTTTTACCAAAGACAAAAGTTATTTTTAAAAATCCTTTAAAATTATATTTACAGCTGAATATTAAAGCCTATTTATCTGTGAAACAGGTATATCATAACCAGTACCAGACTGCCTGCAACACTCATTTTCTTTATTACTTTAGTAGCATTTTGGTTCTTTATTTAGATTGATACAAACCAATGCTCATTTGAGAGTCATCAACATACGGGAAGCACTGAAGTCTGGGAAGGACTGGGCACACCCCATCAATCTTAATCTTGGATTCAAAAAGCCCTTTGGCAGCACATTCTGCCCATACCTGTTGAGAGAGGAGACTGATGTGGCTGGCGGGAGAATACTGCCTTGCTGCCTGTTTCTCAGCCAGCCTCTGGAGTTCAGCTGTAACCAGAGTTTGGTTGTACCGTTTGTTGTAGAAACCATCGTCTCCTTCTTTTTGTGTTTTGGCTACTCCTGAATGATGCTTGTGAGGATGGCATAAACCTGCTGAAAAAGAGAAAAGTTCTCACCCACTTAGGAAAAAGGACCTGAAAAAAAGATGAGGATGGTGACAAAGAAATATCAGGCCAACTGACACTTTAGTGAATCTACGGATCTTTACCATAAGGAGTAATAAATGAAGTTTAAATGGTGACAAAAAAGTTCTTCCTGTAGTCAAACTGCTATATGCATTTTTAATGTGTTTCTGCTTATCATGAAAATGTCACAAAAATTTTCATCACAGGTGCTAGGGAAGAACTAATTTTAGGATTTACGAATCTTAATAATTTTTAAACATTGGCTGAGCGAAGGATACAACTCAAGAGGATCATACTCCCTACATGCATTAGTCTTTGTGATGGATCCCAGTGCTGTCAGAAAACAAAAAGGTTTTGCAACTCATAATTCTTAGTTTTACCACCTGTAAGTTTTACACTTGTAACTACACTTGTAAATCTGTGACACCCATAATACTCACAATGCACCAAAGGGAAATAGGAATGAAAGAAAAACTGAAGGTACATAGAAAAAACAGCATTAATTTTATATTCTCAATGTCCACTTTACAGATTTATTTTCTTCTTTCAGCTAATTTTGTGAGTTGTTATATAACATAAAAGCAAGACTGTAAAAATCACACATCTCTGGGCTGGAGGAAACAGCTCAAACAGCACAGTACCTGCCTAATGAGTATAAAACCCTGAATTCAAGCCCCAGTACCTCAAAATAAATAAATAAATAAAAGTATGGATCTCATTTTAAAAAAATCACAAAACCTAGAAAAGTAATTAACACCATAATATATTTTTCTTTTTGTTTATTTATGTGCAAAAAACTACCCAGGGCTTCACCTCAACCACTGAGCCCTTCTATCCTTTTATAATTGTTAATTTGTTGTCCTTTTGTATACATAACTTATTAATACTAAGAAATCATTTTCATGTCCACTATATCATTTGTTACACCCACAACCTTTACAGTGATTGTGTAATATAAGCATATTATAATGAATGCCTATTAATTTTCTACCAAGGACATGGCACTCAGAAGCTACGTTAGCAATAATATGCATTAGCCTATGTGCTCCTCATCCCTAATCTCTGATCAGTTAAATTATAATTTAAAATATACATATATATATTTGCATAAATAAAATACTAGGTAATTTAGTTACTTTTAAGCTCCATTAAAATGGTATCCTACCATAATAGTTTCCCTTGAACTTGCTTCAACACTATATTATTAAGATTTATACCTGCTGAATATATACAGATTCACTATAACGTTTCAATTCCCTGTTATTTATTAACAGCTTATTGCTGCTATAAATGTCAGTCATACATTATCCTGTACCTCTCTGCTGGTGCATGTATAGAATTTTCTGTGTCTATGCCTATGAGTAGGATTTCTGGTAACAGGGTGACCATATACCTTCCCCTATTTTACTAGTCATCGCTAGGCAAGTGCTCTATCTACCACTTGAGCCATATCTCCAGTCTTAATCTCACCCTCATTTAGTCTTTTAATAGTACGTCAAACATCACAATTCTTCTTTCTCTACAACATTATAAAATAACTTTATAGTCTTCACTTAATAATGATGTTCAGGATATGCTATAACTTTTCTGATGTTGGTTATTGTTCTATTGTCTTTTTCATCTTGACTTACTGAAGTTGTGCTTTATACATATTGCATATATATGTAATTTCATTAATCAATCCCTGGGGTGCTGCCAATACCATGCTGTCTTATTATCATATCATCATACTAAGTTTCAATAAGGTACTCCTCTATCTTATTTTTCTTCTTCAAAAGGTCCCCACTTATCCAGGTGCCGGTGGCTCATGCCTGTAATCCTAGCTACTAAGGAGGCTGAGATCTGAGGATTATGGTTCAAAGGCAGCCAGAGCAGGAAAATCTGTGAAACTCTTGCCTCCAATTAACCACCAGAAAACTGGAAGTGTCATTGTAGCTCAAGTAGTAGAGTGCTAGCCTTGAGCTACAGGTCAGATACAGCACCCAGGCCCAGAGTTCAAGCCCCACGATCAACAAAAACAAAACAAAAGGTCCTCACTCTCTGACCTTTCTATTATTTTAAGAACAAGTGTGAGACTGTGACTGGAACTATATTTAACCTAAAGATCAATTTGATGACAGCAGAAATTTAGGAAATTATTCCTACATGTGTACATATTTATCCATTTATTCATTCCAAACATTTTTTGCTGGTGGTGAAGGTTTATACACTTGATTGTATTTAATGCCATTTCAGCTTTAAAATAAATAGTTGGAGACTGGTAAACTGGCTAAAGTGGTAGTATCAAACTCCAATACAGTCCCCAAATGGTCATTTTTGTATATTTTTTTCTTAAAACTATTGCTTTCTTCATGCCATTTATATGACTAAAAATAATTATATCTAAAATGCATCTATGGTTTTGTTTTTTGGCTGTCCTGGGGCTTGAACTCATGGCCTGGGTGCTGTCCCTGAGCTTCTTTTTCTCAAGGCTAGTGCTCTGCTACTTTGAGCCACAGTGCTACTTCTGGCTTATTCTGAGTAGTAGACTGGAGATAGGAGTAGTCTCACGGCCTTTCCTGCCTGGGCTGGCTTCAAACCATCAGGAGGATCCTGCTTCCTGAGTAGCTAGGATTATGGTGTGAGCCACCAGTATCAGGCTTATTTTATCTGTCTCTCTCGCAAACTTAAATGCTTTTTCTTATTGTGCTGGCTCTGACTTCCTGTAAAATGCTGAACAGAAACAACATTAGTGAGCATCTTCAACTTGCCCCTAATGTGAAGGTGAACAACCAGACCACTAGCTCTTGTAAGTATGGGGCAAATACCATTCCCAGGTTCACAGGGTTTCCTTCTTAGTATGAATGTTCATAAATGAACACAGCATATTATTAAATCTTTTTCTGCATCTATCATGACAATATGAACATGGGTTTCTCTTCTTTAATCTGTTAATATGGCAAATGACACTGTCAGGTTTTTTTTTTTTTTTTTTTTTTTTTTAAGTGCTACTACATTTGACTGGCTTTGAAATTTTTGATTATAGAGTTTTTGTATTTCGGTTCAGAAATGAAGCTGGTGTATAATGTTACTCTCTAGTGCTGTTCTTAACTGGTTTTGTAAAGATGAAACTAGCCACACAAAATAGAGCCATTTTCTATCCTCTTGAAAAATTAAATATTAGAAATGTCCGCTTTTTATAGAGAAATATTAGAATTACCTATCAAACTATCTTGGCTTTATGTTTACTTTCAGAGAAGAATTTTAAGTTTATCAGTTGTTCTAATACTCATAAAACAAGGCTGTCTTCATTTGAGTCATTTTACATACTACACATTAGTAGGAATTTGTCCACTTTTTAATTAGAATAGCAATAACAGTATTCTAATTATTTTTTCATCTATGCTATCTTTGTATTTCATGTCAGCTTTCTTATCCCTTATTTATCCATGTCTTCTTCTTTTGGTAATATTTTTATTAATGTTTGTTCACTTTTGGTTTTGATAGAATTTATTTTTGAATTCTATGGGTTTTGCTCATATCTTTATGTCTTTCTCTTTCCTTTAGGTTTATGATAGTGTTATTTCTTTTATATCCAAAGTCAGAAACTTAGCACATTAGTTTTCACTTCTATCCTTTTTTTTTTTTTGGGTCCCGTTGTGGGGCCTGGGCGCTGTCCCTCAGCTCTTCAGCTCAAGGCAAGCGCTCTACCACTTGAGCCACAGCGCCACTTCCGGCTTTTTTCTTTTTGCTTATGTGGTGCTGAGGAATCGAACCCAGGGCCTCATGCATGCAAGACAAGCGCTCTACCACTGAGCCACCTTCCCAGCCCTACTTTTATCCTTTTCAGGTATGTAAATTTCTAATATTGCCTATCACTGTTTTCTCCATGCTTGGGCATACAGTTTTCCATTATCATTCAGTTCTAATATACTTCATTTCCATTATGATTTCTTCTTTCACTCTTCTTTTTGAAATATACTGAGATGTATTAAATATCTGTCATTGCCTGCAACTCAATTTGCAGTATGGACAAAGAACAATGCTGTGTGGCACAAAGCATTTCATGAGATTTTATTTTGTAATGTAGTACATGCCTAATTTTTAAATTATATCCTACATATCATGTGTGCTTAAGAAAGTATTTTGTTTTTCCTGGGAGGATGGTTCTATACATGATCAGCACACACATATCATATTGTTTTATCATATTGACTCTTCTATGAATAAAAGGTTTCATAATTCAGCCTAGTCTGGCTAAAGGGAACAATCCTCCTGCTTCAACCTCTTGAGTACAGGGATCATAAGCAGGTGTGTGTTACTATGCCTAGACTGCTCACCTTCTATTTAGCAGTTCTACTTAAAAAAAAAATTTGCCAGGCATGGACCAGCATACATGTGAAAAAGGAGAATTTTGGAAGATTTTGAGTTCAAGGTCAGCATGAGCTATGCAATACGACAGTATCTCAAAAAAAAAAAAAGCCCATTTATTATAGAAAGTTTCCACTAAGACAGTGTTTCTGCAGATTACTCATGTACTTCCATGAGTTTCTGTGTCACAGGCTAAGTATTTCTTATTCAAAATGCTTGGGGCCAGAAGTATTTTGGATTCAGGATACTTTCAGATTTATAGTCATGACTGTCCCAGAGAATTACAACAGAACTGCAAAATCTCCATGTCTTAGTGACACTATAGCCCTCATTATGTTATAGAACAACACATTAATCCCATGTTTGTGCTGGTGTTGGTTGAAATAAACCTACTGTGTTGACAGCTGTGTTAAAGTATAGGGCATACAATATCAATATTTGATGATAAATTACTGTTACTGGTCTTAGTATTTACTATAGTGTACTTTTTATCATTATTTTAGAATGTACTCTTTCAAAGTAAGTTCACTGGCAACAGTCATGCATATATATTGTACTTACTAGGTGTTTTATGGATACTCTGTAGGTTTGCATGAGCAGACACTATAGTTTTCCTAGATGATGAAATCACCTAATGATGTATTTCTCAGAATATTTCCTCATGATTAAGTGATGCTTAATGTATGTAATGAGATATCTTGGCACTTGGTCCCATGTCTAAATCTGATAATCAATTAGGTTTTATATATACCTAATACCTTTTATAGCCTACAGGTAATTCTACACAATTATTTTCAGTACATCTACATTTGAGTATGACTCATCCTGTGAGACCAGATTTGGTATAAGGGTGGTACTCAGAAAGTTTCAGAATTTGAAGCCTTTCCCATATGGATTTTCAGATTAGGTGTTCAACCTGTAAATATATGAATATTATTTTATTAAGTGAAAATACTTTCAAAACTGTTTCATCTTTCTGCTATAGTAAACCTTCTGTCATTATGTAGTTGCTTGCTCCTTTTGTCTATAAGAAAGTTTTCTATCTGAAACTTGATTTTAGCATGTGTTAGTATAGCCACCTTTTTACCAGTTGGCATTGAGCTGGCATTTCTTTATGATTGTACCTATTCTGTATCCTGATTCTAAAGTGTGCTTCTAGTGAACAGCAGATGGTTGTATTTTTGAAAACTTCAGACTGTAATACATTAGTAGACTGGGCTTGTCTTAAATTTCTCTTTTGTTTTTCCTATTCTAGCTATCTATACTTTTATGTTTGCCAGTAGTTTTTCTCCTCATTGTCCTCCCTATTGGTTTAAAATTTACATTATTCTTTTAATGAGAACCACTGGATTTTGATACTGTATATTAAAATTTCAAAAACCCCATTGTTAAGTAATACCTTAAACCCATTCTAGAACTATTCAGTCATCACAGTAAAAACTGAAGCTGCAATCATTCATAGGCTATTGGTGCTACTATGTATTGTTGCTATTATGTGTTAAATACTATATATTTAATCCAATCAGAATAAGCAGAATATATTGTCTGATCCCAGTAGAAATATACTGAGAGTCAGTTACAAAAAGTAGAGAGCCTCAAATACATGTAAATTAAACAATATACTTGTAAATAATCACCAGCCAAAGAAGAAATTATAGAAGATAGGAAATAATTTTAAACTGGCTATTTTTTATTCCCTAGTCTTCTCTTGAAAAGGGTGAAAAAAAAAAAGTACTGAAAGTTTTCATAATAACATAGTGTACTAGGGACACTAAACAGAATTTCTCAAATGAGAAAATTCTCAAAAGAAAAATTCAGACCAGAACATGACTGATTATTACTATTTTTGACTTTAGACAATATAATCGCAGAACAATAGTCACCTGGAATTGGTGCATAGATGAATACATTCTTATTTATGACTTTAATTAGAGAAGACCAGTTAAAATCTCTGATCCAAGCTGCATGTTATAATATTCATTTGCAATCAGGTATTAGCTAACCAATACAGATTTGCTATTCAGAAGGCATAACTTAGCGTTAACTCACCTTAACATGCTTATTACTAAAGTGTTTAAAAACTTGATTAATGTTAAGATACTCTTCCAAATGTTCTGCAGACTGATTGTACTTCTTATCCAAGTCCCATCTGCCTTTCTCCCTTTTCTTTCTTTACAGAAATGGACAAACTGTTCCTATAATTCTGATTGTAAGACATAAAATTCAGAGCAATCTAAGTAATCCTGAGGAGGAAGTAAGTATCATCCTTGATGATTTTACAACTTGTCATAATGCTACAGTATCAATGTCATAACGTGGTACTGGCTTAGGACACATACAGCAATGAGAATTAAAGTGAGATTCCAGAAATAAACCTTTACATGGATGGTTAAGTGATTTTTCAACAAGAGCAAAGGACAATCCAATGGAGAAATAATAGTCTCTTGAACAAATGGCATCTTAACAGTTGAAAATCCACACACAAAAGAATGAGGTTGGACTTCTACATCATACCACATACAAAAATTAACTGAAAATAGATAGAAGACCTAAATTAAGAAATGTACAAAGAAATCTTTGTGACTAAAGTTAGATAATGCTTTTTCAGAAAAGAAACCAAAAACACAAGTAACAAGAGAAAAAAAATAGACAAACTGCACTTAATCAAAACTAAAAATTGCCATACTTCAAGAAAGCGAAAAGACAACCAATGGACTGAGAGAAAATGTTACTAAGTCAATTATCTGACAAGGGATTTGTATATAGAATATATATATATATACATATATACATATATATATATATATATATATATATATATATATAAACAACTCAACAATAAGACATTCTGATTTAAAAGTGGGTAAAGAATTTGAGTAGACATTTCTCCAAAGTAGACAATGAACAGCCAAAAAACACATGAAAAGATGTTCAACATCATCAGCCACTAAGGCAATGCCATACACACACACACACACACACACACACACACACACACACACTCACTCTCTCTGTCACACACACAGGTGCATGCACATGCATATTTCATACACTTCAGGATAAAAAAATGCAATAAACATTAACAAGGATATAGAGAAACTGAAACACAACATTGATGATAAAGCAGTGCAGCCACTTTGGAAAGTTTGTTAATTCTACCAACTTATTATGACCTAGAAACTTCACTATACACCCAAAAAGATACAAACATACGTCCACACAAAAACTGTGTATGACTTTTTATAGTGGCATTATATTTTGTCCATTGTAAATGGACAAAAATGACATAAAAATGTCCCTCAACTGACCAGCAGATAAAATATGTGGTATATCCCTACAGCAAAATATTATTCAGCCATAAAAAGATCAAAGTATAGTATATATGAAGAGCTTTGAAAACATTATTCTAAGTGAAAGAAGGAAGTTACCAAGCCCATCTATGTCACAATTCTACTTATACGAAATTTCCAGAGTAGACAAATCTATAGAAATAGAAAGCAAGTGGTTTCCAGGGGCTGGCAGAAGGAGGAAATAGTGGCTGCTAACAGATAGGAGGTTTCTTTCAAAGATAATGAAGATGTTCTTAAATCAGATAATGGTGTTGTTTATACAACTCTAAATAAACTAAAAGCCACTGAACTTTATACTTTAAAAGGGAAAAATTTATGAATATGGGTTATAGCTCGAAGAAACTGCTCATTTAAAATGGGCTGGGAGCATAGCTCAGTGGCAGAGCACTTGACTAGCACATATGAGGTTCTGGACTCCATCCTCAGCATAAAAAAAAAAAAAAGGATGGACCTGACTGGTAATATGATTCTATTTCATTTAAAATTAAATACTCTATTTAAGAATTCTCTGGGCTAGGTGCCAGTGGCTCATGTCTATAATCCTAGCTACTCAGAGGAGGCCCAGATCTAAGTTGCCATTAAAAGCCAGCAGGGGCAGAAAAGTCCCATGAGACTCTTATCTCTAATTAACCACTCAAAAAAAACTGGAAGTGGAGTTGTGGCTCAAAGTGGTAGAGTGGTAGCCTTGAGCAACAAGAGCTCAGGGATAGAGCCCAGAACCTCAGTTCAAGCCCTATGACTGACAAAGAAATTTTTTTTTAAATAAAAAAATTCTCTGGGTACTTATTCAGATCGTTCTTTATTTTAAATGCACTGAAAAGTAAAACCAGACTAATTTTCTGGTGTCAAAAATAAAGAATGCCTCTAGCACATTTGCAGGACTGTGGTTATCTGAAATGGGAACTCTTTTGACTGAAGATACTAGATGTCTTGTTTTATCCATCTCTTTCTCTTCAGTAACTAAATGAGGCTCTATTTCACTCTGAATCAATGAGTGAATGCTAGTGGACAAAATGCAAGGTCCTTCTTTAATCCCAGCAGAGCAATGCAGCATGGGTCCCTTTACCTCTTAAAAGAAAAGGCAATGGGCTGGGAAGGTGGCTCAGTGGTAGAGTGCTTGCCTTGCATGCCTGAGGCCCTGGGTTCGATTCCTCAGCACCACATAAGCAAAAAGAAAAAAGCCAGAAGTGGCACTGTGGCTCAAGTGGTAGAGTGCTAGCCTTGAGCTGAAGAGCTGAGGGACAGCGCCCAGGCCCAGGTCCCACAACTGGACCCAAAAAAAAAAAAAAAAAAGAAAAGGCAAGGGGAAGAGGGCATTCTTTTTTTCATTTGGCTAGGAAGGAGCTGGCACTGCAGCCTGCCTTTCATTTTCTCACTCACCTGCCTTTGCTGAAGAGGAACGAGACAGTTTCTGGCTATAGATTTGTGCAGCACTTTGGAAAGAGGAAAAGGGGCCAGAGGTGTAACTGCCTGATCGACAGCGTGGCAGGCCAGCGGGGCTTGGTAGGTTCTCTGTCCCAGGATGTATGGAGAAAGAAGCACTGTCAGGGACTGGGTTCAGTAAAACTGTTGGCTGGTGAGGCATGCTGAGGATAGCTGAAGGAATCTGAGACAAAGAAAAGTGGACAGGCCCTGGTGAGAGGGCAGAGTTTTTCATAGATGACAAATGGGTGCTGGGAAGTTTCTGCAGAAGAGTAGTAGCAGGACCAGAGAAAGAAGCAGAGGAACAATTGGTATAGACTAATTTAGCCTCTTTTCCTGCTGAAGTGGTAAATCCTATTAAAACAAAAAACAAAACAAAAACAGATCATTTTAGAAAAAACGGACATATAATCTCTACAAAACATAAACATTTTTAGAACATCAAAATAATGTTAACATGAAACAGAAATCATGAAGAATACAGACTACAATTTATACTCATCATGAACTTAATGAATTTTGCCTACCAGAGATGACCTGGCAACAGAAACTTTATTTTTAGTCGGTTCTAAGAGCTGAAATTGGGAATACCTCCACAAATCAGAGCAGGCAAGCTTTACAAAGTTTCTGCAAGCAACAGCTAACGCCTCTCCCTCTCCTTTTCACCCTTCTAGGAAAAAAAGAAAGTACTCAGAATTTCTAAATGAAAAAAAATCTTTGGAAGAAAAATAAGTTATCAATAGTTAAGAGGAAATTCTATGGGAAAAGGAAGAAAAAAAGGAAGAAACTTCTTTGGGTAATGTTCCATGCTTTTCAGAAATACTTAATACTGTATGACTGATGGTCTTTTTCTTTTAAAGATTTATTAGAGAGTAGCAGATCTATATAGGTTTGAAACACTCACGAGATAATTTATCAGAGTGAATCTCTGTGACCTGTTGCTGTTTGGGCTGCTTTATTTTCACTTCTTGTGTTGTCTCAGGGTGATCTGAAATACGAAATAAAAAACACTGAATTTAGACTCTCTTACTAATGAAAAGCACACCTAATTATGTTTACAAAATTATGAGTATTAAGTCAGTGCTAGAAAACACTGCATATACACCATACTCTTCCAAGGATGGCCACAGCAATAGCTCTGCTGACTAAATGATTCCCAGCTTTTCCCAACCCACCTCCACGTAACTAAGCCAAATTACACTGGGATATGAGATCCAGTTGGTTGGTGGTTCTCAATAGAGCCAAGAAGTCGTAACATGTATGGAGCAGTGGAGCTACCATGCAACACATACACATACACATACACATAAAAAAAGTCTCTCTCTACTTGTTAGCATGATACTTAAATACTACACAATGGCTCTTGTCTCTATAACTTAAGGCTATGCCTCAGTTTCACTTGAGATAGATTCATCAATATAGTCAGTAATAAAATCATTCTAGTAACTTTACACTGTTATGTGGTTTTCTCCACTATAGGATTTTGAAACAGTACAGCCAAAGCTAGTCATATACCTAGGGATATATTCCAAAATCCTTGTTAAAAATAAAGTTCATACAAAAACTTAAGAGAAAGCCAAATGTAGTGGCTCATGCCTGCAGTTCTAGCTCTTTGAGAGGTTGAGATTTCTAGCTTGGGCAAAAACTTTACCAATAAAAAGCTGGTAGCACATCCATGTCATTCTAGCCACATGCTCTAACCTGACCTGGGCAAAAAGTGAGCCTCAGTCTGGAAAAAACAAAAGCTGGCAGCATAGCTCAAGCATAGATCACCTGCCTAGCAAGTATGAGGTCCGGAGTTCAAACTGCATTACCACCAAACAAAACAAAAACAACACCCCAGAAGTCATTTTACACTTATTTTTCATTCTGGTCTCTCCATCACCTTTGCCACCAGCAATGGCAATATTGTTACCATACTTGTTTGTTCATGTTTGGTGTAAGTCCAGATATCACATTATTAAATGCTGTTTCCTTGATTGAGGTCTTCATTCTGTCCTGCTAGGTTTTCCTAATAGGTATAGACCACAATAGACCTTATACAAAGGTAGTTGCTAACACACGAACCCTAGAATTTCAAATGATCCATCTGTACAAATGGTACATATTGTTTGAGACTTCTCTATTAACTGCTGAGGAAGAAGTTATGTAGGAATGCCTACATGAACAGACTGCCCCAGTGTGGGGAGGTTAGCATATTTTTCTCTACCCCAAGCCTCACTGTAAGAATTCCTCAACCACCTTCCCTCAACACGATAACAGGAGCTTTTCAGAGCTGCTGTCAATTAATCCAACTCCATTTATTGGGCAATAAAGTTTATAAAGTCAAGGTGGCTCAAGTAATTGTACTATCAGTAACTATCAAAGTGTCCAATCATAATAAGGGCTTAGTAAAAGTTTATAGAAGGAATGAGAAAATCAATGAATCTAAAGCTAGAAAGGCTCTGAGGGACTGGGCTCAGAAGGACTGCTAGGGATATACTAATTAAATTATACAATTAGTTAAGTGGGCTCTTACAGATTAGCCTACAAACAAAATCATCTGTTAAACACTGCGCTAGAAGTATAGCTCTGTGACAGAAAGCTTATACAGCATGTTAGGTCCTGGATTCAATCCCCAGTATTTCAACACAATACAAAAACTATTTTTTTTGGGGGGGGGGTGAAAATGTACTCCACATCTTAACCAATATTATTGGCGACAGTATTTCTAGTTAATACTAGCCTTGTGAGAAAGGATGAAGTCCCCATTTTCAAATCCAGAACTTAAAATACTTACAAAATTATTCTGCTTATGCCTTTCACATACTTCAATTGAGGTTTTAAATGAACTTTACATTCAAAGCAAAGAAGTTTCTTTCTCTTTTTTCTTTAGTCAGTACCATGGCTTGAACTTCAGGCCCTGGACTCCCCTTCGCTTGCTTGCTCATGGTCAGTGCCCTACCACATAAACCATGCTGCCAACCTAGCCTTTTGTTGGTTAGCTGGAGATGGAGTCTCTCTGACTTTTCTGAGAGAAAAGCTGGTTTTGAACTGAGATCTTCCAGATTTTGACCTCTAGGTAGCAAGGATTATAGAAATGAGCCACCTATACCTGACTGAAGTTTTGTTCAGAACAACACCACTGATGTTCTCTTTTTTGAATCACAATCTAGACAGTTGTATCCAGATTCAATTTCCAAATCTGTAGTCACAGAGTTCCTCAGTGGCAGGGGGAGAGGAGGGTGTACAACATGACATTCTTGGCTTGTTACAATGACTTGTGAAACCTGGAACCAGGAATGTCAAGTCATCCCACTAAGATCACAGCCCTGCAGAACCTAAAGTTCCACCCACAATGCCATTGACATGAGGAATCCGACTGGACAAAGGTAAGAGTAGGTGAAAAAAATAGATGGTAAGAGCACAGCTTGCTTCAGAAAGACTGAATAGGGAATCAAAATTCATCCTTGTGTGATAAAGAATGGCCTGAATAAGTTACTTGGTTCCTTCACATTTTGTCCTATGTAAAGAAGTTTCAAAATAATGCCCACTCTGTTATAATTTTTAGAAGTAAAAATAAGATCATGGCCAGAAGATAGTTAAGAGTTCTCTAACCATTAATTATTAACAAGTATTGACTAAACACTAGCTTTTCCTAAAAAGTGTTCTGCTATTAATGATCATGGGGAAAAAGCCCACTAGATCTCTTGATTCTTAGGACAAAAATTACTGCTCCCCTTTCCATCTCCTTGCCCTAGCCCTGTGCTGCAAAGTTTAGCAACTTTAGAGACTTAGTATTCAGTCAACATATCATTAACTCTTGCCTGCATAGCCTACCTTTACATTTTTCCCCTGAGGTTTGAACTCAAGAGCTTCAAGCTCTCACTTGGTAAGTTTTTTAGCTCATGGATGATACTACCACTTGAGCCACACCTCTCCTTCCAGCTTTTTGTTGGTTATTTGGAGTTAAGAGTCTCCTAGATTTGTCTGCCTAGCCAGCTCCAAATCTCCATTCCCAGATCTCAAACAAATAAGTAGTTAAGATTAGAAGTGTGAGCTACCATGCCCTAGCTTCACTTTTTTTTTTTTCCAAGTTCATTCCTTCCTTCCTTCCCACGATGGGAACCAAACCCAGGGTACTGTTCTTATTTTCCATTAATTAACTGGCATACTTACCACCTTTTGCCCCACTATCAGAATAACTATTTCGGTTCTTAGAACTTTTAGAGTGAGTCCCCAGGAAGACACTTGCAGATTTGTTTTTTTGGGTATAAAAAGTTAACACCTCTTCCAGTTCAGCCTCACTGAAACGAAGAGAAAAGGCATTGTCAGCAGGGAAAGTTGTTCTGGAAAATCTTTCTACCAGATTTTATTATGGAAACACAGTAATCAGAAGAAAGGAAAAATGAAAAGCATAAGCTGAAAATTCATCATTAGTATATGGCCAAAAGTAAAATATAGATGAAAATATTCTAAAGAATGAAAATCCTCATGGAGATATGCACTGTCTAATATGGCAGACATTAGTCATATAGGACTACTTAAAGTTAAATAAAAGTAGTCTCTTCTTGAGTTATCCTAGCCAAATTACAAGCACTAAGTCACCCACAGAAGTTATACTACACAGCTATACTTTTGGTCAGGAGTGCAAACCACAGATTGAGAGCCAAACACAATGAGCAACCTGTTTCTATAGGACCTGTACTTATGAATTTATGAATATATATACATAAATTCATACATATATAAATTTATATATACATTCATATACAAATAGGCAAAAAGGCCCTACAGTAACCTACAGCAGTCTGCAATATTTATGTCTTTTTCCAGTGTCCATTCTATTTCTAAATAATTGAAGTCTCTTCACTAGAGAAGGCATTTGTCATTTTAATGGGCTATGTCAGAAATAAGGTGTCTTAGTGGTGTGAGCACAGCAGAGTTCCTGAACAAAATGTAGCAGACTGACCTAGATCGTCTCTAAAATAACTTGAAATTACTGAGATTACATGCTATTTATGAACATTCATAAAACAGAAAGTCCAAGGAATGAAATGAGAACCTAAGGAAATTCTCAATGAATGTAACTTGCATAGATTTTCTAACATGTGCAGCTACTTCTGATTGTCTTTTCCTTTTTCTTGAGTCTCAAAAACAGTTAAGTGCCACAATAGGAAGCTACTCCTCCCTGTGAGTGTGTTTTAGTTGGGCTGTCTCAGAAAGGCAATAGATAAAAGTTGGTCAAAATACAAGTGGGTCTCTAGATGTCTTTTCTTCTGTCTATATCATCATTACATCTTCCTTCCTGGCTCCTGCAGATATTTGAGTCTACCAGGCTTGACAGAGGTATCTGCAAACTCCCTAATTAAAAGGAGGAGCTGACACTACTACACACTTCTCAGTCATCAATACTTGATACACAATCATTAGTAAATATCATCTAATGTATTTTATCTGCAATCTATATAAGTTAACACATATGTTTAAATATATGTATATAAATGTATATGGTTAATGTCTAGTATCTAGTTAGGTGTGCTGGTGAAATAAATATACATCACTTTTTTTAAAGTCTGGAGGTTTTCCTCTTTAGTCTTTTAGGAATTTTTGAAGGTCCCTAAGGAGGAATCAGAAATTAATCTTTTAGCTTTAAAAGCAAAGTAATTTTCTGGATGTATTCTACCTTATTTTTCTATTTTTCTAATGCTGAAGTGAGAAACTGCTTCTTGCTTTGTTTGTATACTTGCTCTATCAATCATATTACCCAACTCCTGAGAATGTCAATGAAATGTTATTACACTATTACAGAACTCCTAAAAAATGATACATCTGTTTGCTGTGGGTTAAGTACATGAGGGGGTGGCTGTAGCATCTAAACAAGGCATTATACACCATGCTCTGTTGGTACCTAAGTTCACAAATAATGGAGAGCTAATGTCCTACTCTTTTCATTATGACTTTGATGATGGAAGCCTATTTACTAGGGTTTACAGTAGCCTTATCCATTATGTTATCTTACTGATTTTGCACAACTCTTCTTATAAAAAGGACCTCTAGTATGCGATTTTACAAAAACTTAAAATTGTCTTTTGTCATCTCTTCCTTTGGAAATACCATTTTAATGAATAAAATGTTCTGGTTGACTTGTATGAAGATAGAGTTGAACACTGAGATTATCAATTCCTCAAGATTAACCCCTAAGCATGAAGGACTTTATTATATAAATTAGGTGTAACCCTCACAGTGTTAAGAGATTGTCAGTTCCTCAACCCACTAAATTTAGGCAAAATTTGGTCATCTCTACAGCCTCAGTAGATCAGGGATAAATTCAATAAACACTAGAAACCTCTAGCCTCAAATTTCCAAAAGCTCCCTAAGTACTTCAAGGGTTGTATACTTTGACAACTGTCTAGAATGACAGCCCATACACCCAGCAGCAGTGTTTTGATAACTGAAGCCATGACAACAGCAACATTACTAGCTGAGATATGGACAGGCCAAGACTATAAAACTTTCCCTCCTTCTGAAAATGATTTCATTCATAAAGTGTCAAAAACAGGGAAATGTGGGGCATTCAGTAAGCAGAATTGAAGACAGAGTAATCAGTAATTTTATTAATCAGTAATCTTCTACCTGGCTTGTGTGATGAAGTCTTGGAAGTTTTCTGCATTCACTCCATCCTCCTCCTCTTCTTCAAATTTTTTCTTTGATTTCTTTTCAGCCATTTGTTCTGTTTCCTATTTAATGCCCAAGCCCACAGAAAAACAAGATAAAATTGACTCCTGGTAAATGCGCAGTTCATCGTGTTTTTATCACCCCGGGGTTAATTGGTCCTTACAGTAAAAACATTTAATTCTTCCATTTACTTGGCCAACTATAAATTAGATATATTACTACTGGCCATTATTTCATGAAATGTTTTGAAAGGTCCAAGTAACAGCTGAAGAATAAATGTAAATTTTTATCACTGTTTTACTTTCTACTTACGCAGCCCATTGAAAAAAAGCTTTTTATAGTCCTTAGTAACATCTGTGCTTATATTGCAGCTCTAACAGTATTGTGGGACAACAGAGACAGTATTTTGTGTAATTAGTAAAGGAAAGATTAAGCTTGGAAGACTGTCTTATAGCAGCTTCCAAATTGAACAAATTTTTATGTGAGGCGTAAGAAAAGTCTGAACAGATCTTCAGTAAATTGTTGATATGGGTTTAGTATTCTACTAAACATTTTGTACAACATTTTCATGCTATTTAAATTTCTATGCCTGATCTTTTCCTTCTGAAATGACCATATTTTTTCCCTCAAATACTTTTTTGTGTGTGTGTCAGTACTGGGACTTGAACTCAGGGCCTCATATTCTTACTTGACTTTTTTGCTCAAGGCTGGTGTTCTTCCACTTGAGCCATACCTCTATTTCTCAGTTTTTGGTGGTTAACTGGAGATTAAGGGTTTCATAGACTTTTCTGCCTAGACTGGCTTCAAGCCATGACCCTCAGATCTCACCTTCTGAACAGCTAAGACAACAGTCAGGCATGAGCCACTGGCACCTGGCAGCCCTCAAATATTTAACACATTCTGAGATACAAAGTGTCTTTTTAAGACACTTTGCAAAAATTCTAATTAGTGTATTTTCTAGGCTTGATGGTATAATTATCTCTCTATATAAAATAATTCAGAGGAAAAAAGTCTCTTAAAAATCATATTAAATTCACATTCACTCTCAAATAGTCAGCTCTCCATTGTTTACAGTTATAATAACAATACATGTCCACAAAGGTAACTTTCATTTCACATATGAAAGACAGCACATTCTCTTAAAGAGAATATGCCTTTGGTAGGAACCAACCATGGCCACTGGCCTCTTAGAAGTAACCACTTTTCAGCTCAGCGGGTTAAGGTGTGAGGTACCATCCCCACGGATACCAAAACAGAATGGACAGTACTACCTACCAGAGAACAGAAATTGAACAGAGGGGTCCAGCCTTTTTCTGACAATGTGTTGAAACTAATGCACAAGACTACCAGACAAACAATTTACCTTGTTGTACACAAGGATAAAGTCACCTAGTTGGTGAGCAAGGATTCTTCTGCGTTCCAGAAGTGCTAATCGTCGACTGGGTAGTATCATCCTCAGTGAATGCTGGAGGTTACTTGACGCTCGCTTGAGAAAACGAACTACCAGCTCCTGTAAGTTAAAAAGCCATTGAGTAAGAAAGCAAGGATAGGGCTAAACATCAGAAGGCAAGCTATAAGGGACTGGACAATAAAGATGTGAGACAAGGTATGTTACTCATTTTGACAAACAGGACCCAGAAAAATCATGTCAGGCATAAGGATAAGAAAAAAAAAAGCTAAAGAATTTTATTCTCTTTCCTTCTGTCAATCAAAAAGTCAAATTCTAATATGTATATATAACTATATAACAATATAGTTATAAAAGAACTATAATACATACACAAATGGTATTATCAGAAGATACTGCTTCTGCTGGGTGCCAGTGGCTCATGCCTGTAATCCTAGCTACTCAGGAGGCTGAGATCTGAGGATCATGGTTCAAAGCCAGCACAGGCAGGAAAGTCTGTGAGACTCTTATCTCCAATAAACCACTAGAAAACCAGAACTGGTGCTGTAGCTCAAGTGATAGAGCACTCACCTTGAGCTGAAGAGCACAGGGACAGTGCCCAAGCCCAGAGTTCAAGCCCCACGACAGACATAAAAAAAAAAGAAAAGAAAAGAAAAGAAAAAGATACTGCTTCTAATAAGGCAATTTAGGAGAGGTAGCATTCAAAGATAAGTAGTGGAAGCTTAAACAAGGAGGCATGAAATCATTAGAGGTAAAAAAGTATAGAAGTGAATGTAGTAGTACATGCTAACAACACTAGGATTTAGGAGGTTAAAGTAGGAAGATACCCAGTTCAAGGCCAGCCGGGAATACATCCTGAGATTCTGCTTCAAAAAAATGTGTAAGGAGCCAGGCGCTGGTGGCTCACGCCTATAATCCTAGTTACTCAGGAGGCTGAGATCTGAGGATCGTGGTTTAAAGCCAGCCTGGGCAGGAAAATCTGTGACACTCTTATCTCAAATTAAGCACCAGAAAACTGGAAGTGACACTGTGGCTCAAGTGGTAGAGTGCTTGCTTTAAGCTGCAGAGCTCACGGACAGCATCTAGGCCCAGAGTTCAAACCCCATGACCAACAAAAAATGAACAAACAAAAAAAACAAAAACCTAAAAGAAAACAATGTATGGACACTATGGCAGAAAAAGTTCATCAAAGGCTTCCAAGAAGCCAGAACTAGTAAAGATCACAACCAAGACAAGGCACTGGCTCTGGCTACTGTGAGACACTTTGAGAAGAAAAACATGAAGACATGCATATGGAATGAAAAATACAGGTCACCAGAAAAAACTACTAACTTAAAGCATTTAGTGATAAAGAACAAGTAAATTACTCTAGTAGGTTTGGGGTTGGCAAAGAGGGTACAGTGGAAAGTCACTAAGGTTAAAAAAGAATGTATCTTGGGCTGGGAAGGTGGTAGAGTGCTTGCCTTGCATGCATGAGGCCCTGGGTTCAATTCCTCAGCACCGCACCACATAAGCAAAAAGAAAAAAGCCGGAAGTGGCGCTGTGGCTCAAGTGGTAGAGTGCTAGCCTTGATCCGAACAGCTGAGGGACAGCGCCCAGGCCCAGAGTTCAGGCCCCACGAACGGACTCCCCCCCCCCCCCAAAAAAAAAGAATGCATCTCACTTAAGATGAAGACAGAAGATTATAAAATCTGAGAAGATACTAATCATTATTCAAAACATCAGAGAGATGTGTAGGACAAAGGGACTTGAAGAAGTTATTCATCACTAGCCCATCAAGTAACAGTGCTTTCAAATGATGGAACTAAGGCTCTCCTATGAATTATGAGATAAAGTATCTCTAACTGTAACCCAGACCAGAGAGGGCAATTCTATACCTCTCTTCCCCATAAGCAAGGATATTGCCATAAACATTGAACAATGGTTAGGATTTGCTCTCCAGATTTATTTTCAAGAAGAAATTCACAGAACCAGTATCATACTTTGCAGTGATAAGCCCAAATCTTTTTGTAGGAAGTCTCACAGGAATTCTGTGTGAATTCTAAACCAGCACTTGCAGTGGTTATTTCTTTTAAGCTACATTTTATTCTTCTTGAATTTGATTTTAGTTCATTGTCATTTAGTGCCAATTTTCTCTAGCATAAAGGCAACAGCCTCATAACCAGAGGGTTGCATTTCATACTTCTCTGCTGTATGTAGTATAGGGTAGTTGAAACTGCTATATTAAAACATTATTTCTTCACAGTAAAGCAGACAAACTGACTCTCAAAAAGGCAGTCTCAATTTTCTACTTGGAAAGAGCAGAGCTAACATTTTCCACTGATGGCTGAAGGATTATTCACAACACACGTTTTTTCTTTGGGTTGTACTGGCTACTTTAAATTCACAAGTTGTTTACTAGAATAACCAATATGTTATCAGCCATAAATAGTTGCCTTTTCCATGTGAAGGATTAAAAATTAAGAGTACAGTCCTAAGTGGGATAAAGCATATAGCTTTCCTAGGACTTAAAGATTCCCCTCCTTTTACGTGACAACATCTATGTAAGGACTGGTTTCTTTCTTGACCTTTCCAAAGAGCTTGAAGTACTTTGTTACTGTGATCTTAGCCCAGAATATTAAATCCTGGAGTTCAAATGACTGGTAATCAAAATTATCACACAATTTTTATTTCAGTACTCTAAGAACTTTATGCCATTAAAACTACTAAATATGTTCAGCTGGAAGATGGTACATCTGAAAGGGCCTAGATTCTGACTTTCAGAGAGCTAAAGAAACTCAGGACAGAAATAACTGAAGAGAGCTGGGCGCCGATGGCTCCCGCCTGTAATCCTAGCTACTCAGGAGGCTGATATCTGAGGATCGAGGTTCAAAGCCAGCCAGGGCAGGAAAGTCCGTGAAACTCTTATCTCCAATAAACTACCAGAAAACTGGAAGTGGTGTTGTAGCTCAAGTGGTAGAGTGCTCGCCTTGAGCTGAAGAGCTGAGGGACAGCACTCAGGTCCAGAGTTCAAGCCCCACGACCAACAAAAAACAAACAAACAAACAAAAAACAAAGAATTGAAGAGTAAATAATGTACAGTTGTAACATGTGGATTCAAGTTCCAGTGTTAGCATAAACAAGAATGGGATAAAAGACCATGTTTCTCAGTCCTTGTTTCCCTATCTTAAAATGAGACTGACAATGCTTCCCTCAGAGAGTTAACACAGTGTGAGGTTGCCTGAGTAAGGGCCATATGTTGTTGTTCTTCTCCAGGGTTTTGCTCAGGGCTTATTATCCAATGAGCAATCAATTTCCATTTCAGAATGAAATATATCAATGTCCTCACTACACAGTATAATAAACACAGTTCCAGGCAAAGATGTGCTTCATATCACATGAAAGTGAGGGAGATCTAGAAACTTTATTATGCAACAATCCTTTCATATGAACAATATACTTCTGTTTAATAAAAAAAAAAAAAAAAAAAAGACAGGAGGGCAGGGAAAAGGGGAGGGAAAGGAAAAGGAAAAAATCTCAGGTTCCAACAAACAGTCTCACCATCTGTTCATCCTCTTTGGCAGCCCAACTGGCACTGAGCGTCTGATCTCCATTGTCTTTTGTCAGGCGAATTTGCACATGCTGGAGATAGGCAGAGAATGCTAATCGGGCCTGCACTCTGCTATAGAAATCCAAAACAACATACTATTATGAGTCAGCATGGTAAACCTCCCAAATGTGTACTTGCCTCTCTCAAGAAGGCTAGCAAGTATGAATTCATCATATAGTTGAAGAACACAAGGTTTAAAATTCTTTTTCCATTAAAAGAATCAGGGATGAAGAGTCCTATTGATTTTATCATTATTAGCAGGAGAAAAATACAAAATTAGGTTTCCAGCTCATCACATATTGTTTTGACCTTTTTAACATCTTTCTTAAGATATTGGACGTAAGTACTGAGTTTTCATGAAAACTTCTATAGAAATGAGAAAATGGGGTTGTGCACTGGAGGGCCTTCAGTATATACTTATCAGATAGTGCAAAAGTATGGATTTTGCTAGGCAACTAACATTTATAATGTACAATAGCCTCTGAAGAAGGAAATAGATAAATCCTACAAAGAAACATTTGAAATCAACATTTAAGGCCGTGCATTTCTTGACTACATGACAGGAGTGGCTAGAGCACAGAATAAATGAATGAGGTCCAAATGAGTTTGGTATAGATGACCCAGTAAGCCAGGATGAGCCCAGATGGCAAGAGGGGGAAAAAAAAGTCTTAAATATAGTGAAAAAAATCCGAGTGAATCACTGAAGAATCTTGACATTTTTCTGCCTGGTGATCCTGGATGCAAACAAAGAAATCTGATCAAGCTACAGTTAACTATGGAGGTATTAAGACACATTGACAGATTTCACTTCAGTTGCTAATTGTGGCAGATCTGTTTTCTTTCAGTCAAGATTTTAGTTACTTCAGCTGATTAGCCTTTTGACACTGTAGCCAAAATTACATCAGTGCAGATTAGGGCCCAACACAAACTTTGTTTACAATCCTCACACATGCAATCACTGAACACTCTTTACTCATGATCCCCAAGGTTCACAGGAAGTCCCAAGCAAACTGGAAACCTCAGTGGGACCAGGACTACTTGGCCTATGTAAGCTGGAGGTCTGGGGGACAGTAGAGTCAGGCTGAGAGTCCAATAGCTCTTCAGTTTTCACTCAAAAAAGCTTCAGAACATGAACTAGAAATAAGGCTAGATCTCTGTTACAAGTAAGGATAGTTTATGGGAGCACAATATGAATTCTAACCAATAAATTTATATTTCCAAATGTTTTCAGCAGACAATAACTATATTTTTGTTTAACTAAAATGTACATTACTTTCCTCTCAAACATTTCCACAGGTTTTACCATATCATATTTTCAAATCAAAATAATTTTTGAAAATCTTGCACTTTTATCAACAAATTCACATGCAAGACAACAAGCAGGAAATAGGTTTTAAACATCTTCAAATACAGAATATCCAAGTGCATGGATTGGTCCTTTTACATTCAAACATAAAGGTCACTGGGAAGGAAATTACTGCTCATTAAGTAAGGATTTCATTGTTTTGAAGCAAATCAAATAAAAAATTACTGACTTTTTCATTTGTTTTCAGTACTGGGGTTTAAACTCAGGGTCTTGTGCCTGCCAGGTAGATGCTTTACCAATGAGCCTCACCTCCAGCCTATAAATCTTACTCAAATGATTCTGGGAATGTCAATGCAGAGAGTGTCTTTAAAGGTGTTAGTCAGCTAGTCATTTCCAACTAGCAAGTCAAAACATGAAAGAATGTAAACCACAATGAGTTAAACCAAGGTAACTTATTTTAAAAAACCAAATGGTTGTATACTCTCAGCATGTGAAGTATACAAGCAGGAGGCTGTGCCTGCAATTGAGCCATAGCCTTGATCCTTCCCCAAACTACTCTGGAGCCATTAAGCTGCTCCATAGGACAAAGGTAGCCTTGGCAAAGATACTTAAAGTAAGATCTCTAAGATTTTTGAAGAAATTTCTCTCTCTCTCTCTCTCTCTGATAAAGAGAACATTATTAGTAGAAAGGAGATCATAATACAGTCTCGTGGTTTTCAAATTTTGATACAATGGAACCTTTTTCCCCCTTCAGAAAGTAATTTGGAAAATCCTTGTCTAACCCATATGTTTGGCTTGACAAAAACAGAAAATGAGGCCTAGAAAAGTCACTGACTTGTGAGGCCAAGTGTGGTGGTACACTCTTGTCATCCCCTTTACTCAAGAGGCAGACCTAGGCTGAAGTCAGCAAGATCTCATCTCAAAAACAAGTGTGTGGAAAAACAAGTGGGAAGGTGGCTCTGTGGTAGAGTGCATGCCTTGCATGCATGAGGCCCTGGGTTTGATTCTTTAGAACTACATAAGCAGAAAAAGCTGGAAGTGGAACTGTGGCTCAAGTGGTAGAGCACTAGCCTTGTGCTAAAGGGCTGAGGCATAGCACCCAGGCCCAGAGTTCAGGCCCCATGACTGACCCAAAAAAAAAAAAGTGTGTGATGGTACGCTCCTGTAATCCAGCTACTTGGGAGGCCAAATGATGATAGTCTGAGGCTACCTGGGGCAAAGCCTAGGACCCTATATGAAAAGCAAACTAAAAAGCAAAAGGACTGGGACATAGCTCAAGTGGCTGAGTACTTGTCTAGCAAGTGTAAGAAAACAAAAGGCCTTTGTCTATGATGACATAAACAGTCACAGCACCAAAAAGATCAGAGCCCAAGTATGCTGACTAAACTCACTAACAGACATTCTCATTCTCAAAAACACTGTGCAAACCTGAACTCTTAATCGCCACATTCTCTAATATCACTTTCTGTTCTCTCAGTGTAACACTTGGCCTTTATATATTTTATAAATGCCATGGTGGGTAAGTATCTGAGTTTCCTTGCTCTTCAACTTCTACCTACTGCACTCAACCCATGTGTATCTCAGGTTTATAGGCAGAGATATCCTTCCATTGGCCTCTTATCACCTTCAAAACCCTTCTCTGCATCCATTGCTGTATCTCTAATGCTTTGGCCATCAAATCCTCCTGGCTTCAGAAGAATTTATCAAGTAGCATTGGTACATCTTTCCCCTTCCTCTCCTAGGGGCCATTTTCCAAGGTCTGTGTCCTATGGATTCCTTGGGGAAAAGGGGAATTATCACCATCACTGCTTGTTCTACTAATGCACGTTAGTTTGCAAATTTAGTCTACAAATAAGCTCCAGAGTCCAGATCTGCTTTCCTTTCACTGAAAGGCTATTTCATATTTTCTTTAATTCTAAGCTCATGACTGCTACTCCACATTCTCATTTTGTGTGCAGTCACAAATCTAGGAATCTCTTTTCACTCCTAGCCCTAACAGGTGCCTTAGGCATTCCACAACTCTCAGCATATATCTTTATCACTCCCTCTTACTTTTTTTTTTTTGGGTCCGGTCGTGGGGCCTGAACTCTGGGCCTGAGCGCTGTCCCTCAGTGTTTCAGCTCAAGGCTAGCATTCTACCACTTGAGCCACAGCGCCACTTCCGGCTTTTTTCTTTTTGCTTATGTGGTGCTGAGGAATCTAACCCAGGGCCTCAGGCATGCAAGGCAAGCGCTCTACCACTGAGCCACCTTCCCAGCCCCTCCCTCTTACTTTTATACCTATCTCTTTACTGCTTCTAATTTTTTAACTGACTTATTAAATGATATCTCATACACCTCCATTCTCTTCCTTTTCTTCTATAGTTGCTGGTCTATAGTTGCTGAGTTTACACAGAACTGGCAATCTCATCCACTCTGAAGATTTTAACCCAAATACGACATCATTTTATTATCTTCAATGTCTTTCTCACTGTCTGAAATGACCTGTTTCTTTCTTTCTGTCTGCCCTCCCCACCAGAATATAAGTTACAAAAGCCTATCTTGGAACAGAACAATGGCATTCTCAGGGAAATGGATGGAGCTAGAAAAAATCATTTGGAACAAGCTAAGCCAAGAGCAGAGAGACAAATAGCACATAGTCTCCTCGATAGGTAGATGTTAAATCCAAAATGCAAGGAGATATGACAAAGTAAACAGGATTTGAGAAACTAAGGACCTCCACTCAATTCATATCATTACTAAATGACTCCATGTTCTTGACCACACATTTGGTGTATGTATATATATATATATATATATGCACATCTGAGAAAGCCCAGAGGAAGACAAAGAATCAGTGGGAAACAGGGGATAACATACAACGGAGGGGCCCATCACTAGACATTAATGAAAATAAAATAAGCAACTCAAGGACAGCAATGGGAAAGGAAGGAATGAGAGGGAAAGACGGAACAGCTTACACTAAGCAAATGGAAAGAAATGTACATATCACCCAGTGTGGAAGAAATAATTGTATTGTCAGGGCTCATAGAATTCACAAACATGATATTGATAATTTGCTTTGTGAAGGTTAAAGTGTGTTTGTGACTTCAACTAAGTATCACTATCTTACAATACTGTGAAATTTATGTAATCACTTAATCTCAATAAATTTTTTTTAAAAGCCTATCTTGGGCCCCCACAGTAATGCTATATAGCTTACCATAATTCTTTGCACAAATTAGGGTAATAGGTTGTTGAAATACTGAATGAATATTATGTTATTCATTCATATCTCATACCTCTGTGCCTTTATTTCCTCTACTATCTGCCTAGCATTCCCATGATCACCAAGCCTCATTGGTCAAGGCATGGCTCAAATATCACCTCCCCCATGATGTCTCCATAGCCCTCATTTCTTTTTGTATCCTAACAACACTCTGTTCTTATGGGGGGGGGGGGGTCACAGCCCAAGCTCTTAAAAGGGTCCCCCTAAACAAGTGGAGCAATCTCTGTCTAAGTCACTTTGTTCTCCTAGTGATGAACAGAAATGCCCATCAAATATTTGTTTGGCCAATAAATCCCAAGTTTGTTCTGTATCTTCTTGGACAAGTAACTTCTATAGGCTCCATTTTCCTTAACAATAGCAATGTCTATTGGTAGTTGTTAGCACTGTGAGTATTAAATGAAACATGACTGTAAAACCATTAAATCAGAAGCTGGATCACAGGATAAGTTTGCTGTTATCATTAACTACTACAATTGTAATGACAAAAGGCACTTACCTTAGATTTCCATTATTTTGCAGAATCTGCATCAGATTAAACTTAGATTCTGGCTCCTGAGTCTCAATTTTGCAGCACTGGTCAGTTTTATCCTCCCACTCAGGAACTTGCACAGAATTTTCTTTAGGTGAATTTTCTATCATAACAGTCAGTGAGGAAGGCATGTGTTTGTCTTGATTTTCTCCAATAGAACTTGAAGACTCCTCTTGAGAAGCTTCCTGTTCTTCATCTTCATTGTCTAATGTAACCTCTTCTTCCTCCTCTTCACTCTCTGTCTCAGTTTTAACATTCATTTCAGCTGGTTGGGTAATCACTAAATGCGAAGAATCACTAATGTTGCTGAAAAAAGGATTAAATTTTCCTCTCTCCCAATACCTTCCTTTTATCTTGTCAATAGAAACCCACTTCTTAAAAATTTTAAAAAAAAACCACGTCTAAACACAAGCCTGAACAAAAATAATAGCAATCATATGCTACTCTTTAATCTTACATACTCTAAGAAAACCAAAAAAATTACTAATGGTCTTCATTGTGTTGATGTTTTTCTTCATACCCAATGGCTTTCTTAAAACTTAAGAAAACCCCCTACTTTCTCCACCCTGCCCCCAAAATACTCTTGACTAAGTACACAGTGCTGGTTTTCAGAAATGCACCCTTCATTCAAGAAAATACAAAGAACAGGGAAATACCTTCCATTGTCTTTCTCCCCCATTGTCCTTAAGTTCTTTAAGAAAAGGAACTTTTTTTTTTTTTAACTAATGAAACTCCAGTGCTTATATGCTGCCTGACACAGGTACTATACAAAGGAGAGAAATAGGGGTGGAGAAGGTGGGGGAAGGAAGTCAATCTATATAGGTCAGTTAAAAGTAGCTTGAGCTGCCAGACACAGCTCATGCCTATAATCCTAGTTACTCAGAAGACTCACATCTAAGGATTGAGAAGCCAGCCCAGGCCGGAAAGTCCATGAAATTCTTATCTCCAATTAAGCAAACATACGTACACATGTGTATACACACATACACACACACACAGCTGGAAGTAGAGAGATGACTAAAGTGGAGCACTAGCCTTATGTATAAGAGCTCAAGGACAGCCCCTAGGGCCTGAGTTCAAGCCCTGGGACCAACACACACACACACACACACACACACACACACACACACACACAATGGAAGTGCAGGTGTGCCTCAGTGGTAATTAGCCTGGAGCACAAAAGCTCAGAGACATCCAGGCTCTGAGTTCAAGCCTCACAACCAACCAAATAAAAAAAAAGAGAGAAAGAGAAAGAGAGAGAGTTCAATACGAGAGACTCCAGGAGAAAATTCCCCTTTATCTAAAATATATATACAATTCATCAAATTTTAAAGGATGAGCTGAACTTACCTAATCATCAAAAACCCTCACAGTACAGCTCAGGATTTTATTAAAATCAGACTAATATTATTTCTGAATTATCAAGTATTTCTATAATGGAAAAATAAGAGCAAGAGCCAAAATTTGTGTGATTCAATAAAGTGTTAAGGAATGGAGGATTTTAAAACATTTTCTTTCTGAAATTGTTTCAGAAAAAAACTAAGTATATGTAATCAAGAAAGTTCTGACTTGAATACTGACTGAGTAAGAAGCTAATTGACTTGGAAAGGCAGGACCTAGAAGATACCTGGGTATTTTGGCCTTATTGCCCTCATTCTGCCACTCCGTCGTCTACGTTTTCGCACCTCCAGAGACAGGAGCTTCCTCTCATAAAGAGCAGCATGCAGCGTGGCCTTTGAATTCATGCTCTCTACCTTCAGTTCTGGTGCTCCATCAGTAATCGGTCTAAGGGAAAAACAGCAGTTACAGCCTTTCAAAAATCTTTATTCCAAGGCTAAGCATCATAGAATCTGGAGGGATAATAGTAGACTGGCGAACTCTAAAGGGGTTGAAAGATAAAGGAAAACCTCTTATTTCCATATCTTGGAGTTCATTTCACTTAGCATCTTATATATGATCATATGTGTGATCCTCTTCTCGGACTATCCTAGACATGTTTTTCTTCGTTGTTGTCATTTTTAATTACTATATGAAGTTATTTCTTTCTTTTTTCCTCCTATGGTTTATCCCTTGTTACTGTATTTGATTTTGGTACCCTGTGTATTGTATATAGATTTATCTGAATTAGGGAAAGGAAGGGAAACAACAAAATGGTGAGACAGAGGACAAAGGGTGAACCAATACACCAGAGATACACACAACTTGGGGGGGGGGCATTAAGGGGGAAGAAAAGTGGGAGAAAAATGAGGGAGGACTTAACAATACCCTACGTATGTAAATGTAAACCCTCTTTACATCACCTTGATAATACCTTTTTCAGTATAAAGGAAAATACTAGAATCTCTATTAAAACTACACTAACAGCCTATCTAAGTTTATTAAGTTCTGAGCGAACACACACTTACACACACACACACAATGCCTAAGTACCCTTAAGCATTCAGCAATACTGGCTCTTAATTTACTGCAGAGATGATAAAGCTCTATCCAATACCTTATGTGGGGGAAATAACAATAACATCATCATTGTTTAGTGTGGACAAAGGTCTTGGTTAGTGCTATTTTAAGCTTTATTTTTAGTCTTATCAAACATATCAGAAAGCATTTCAACAGTGGATCTTACAGTTTATAGTAAAACTGAACTAACTGCTTACAGAAAGTTTTCTGCAAAAACGTATGCAATACAGCCCATTAAAATACAGTTTTCACGTGTGTGTGCGTGTGTGCGTGTGTGTGCGTGTGTGTGTGTGTGTGTGTGTGTGTGTTTTCCAGTACTAGGCCTGGGCCTGGGTGCTATTCCTGAGTTTTGTTTTGTTTTGTTTTGAATCAAGGCTAGCACTCTACTATTTGAGCAACAGACTCACTTCTGGCTTCTTTGGTGCTAAATTGGAGATAAGCATCTCATGGACTTTGCTGCCTGGGCTGGCTTCACACCACAATCCTCAGATCTCAGCCTCCTGAGAGACTAGTATTAAAGGTGTGTACCACCAGCTCCCAGCGAGTGTTCATATTTTTTTAAGTATACAAGAAAGTGGGAATCAAAAGTCTTTTGCTATTCAGCAAGAAAGATGTTTGAAAGACTTGAATGGATATCTGAAATAAAGGGATTTGAGAAAAGAACATCTTGGTACCTGTTTTACTGGTATTAATTATAACTTAGTACATAGTCTACTTTTAAATGTGTATAATATTTAATAAATACAGAGCTGATAGAGATTGAAATGGGAAGAGAAGCTGATGATACATGAATAAGTAAGCAGGATGGAGGTGACTGAGGGGAAGTGTGTCTGAAACATTCACATTTCTCACTATAAAGACCTGCCAAAGTTCTCTCTCTCCTTTAGTCTGGTGAGCTTCAGACAAAGATAGAAGAGGTGGCCAAAGCACTCCAGGTGTTTGAGTATAGGACAGAGTCTAGGTCAAAGATATTAAGAGTCAGAGGCACGGACAAGGGAAAGTAAGCAGATAGAGGACTAGGCCCTGAATGGGAAATGAGATGGAGAGAAGGGACAAGTAGCACCTGCAAATTAGAGAAGTGACAAATATCAGGCCCAGACTATACGCAGTTTGGGCAAAGTAAAGAGCATAGATAACCAGACCATGAAAGAAAGAGCTTTGAGTCATTGGTCATAAAAGGATCCAGATTAGTATCTGAGAGCATGTACCTAACTTTGCATACTAAGAGCTCAAGACCAGCTGACAATCTGAACTCTCTCTGGAATTCCTAGAACTCAAAATATATTCCCTTTATGGTCAAGGAATCCCCCATCTCCTCTGGAAGTTATCAGTTTCTAAGCGTGACACAAGTGCTGTCCTGTTCTATCTATTCAAGACTTTTGGATAGGGATTTGAGTGAGTCCTTTAGAGGCCTTCTCTTCAAGACAGAATGTTGGGCAAGAACAAGGAAGTGAGCTTCTGACTAGCAAGCAGAAATGGGGAGCCAAACCAATCAATTTTTTATAAATGAGGTTATCACTATGATGCCTAGGCTGTAATGAACCAATGTCCTTTATATAAACAAGAATATCACCACCTATATTGCCAAGAACATAATTCTGTGGGGTGGGGAGGCATTCTTTCAGAACAATTAACAATAAGAAATCAATAAAAAGCTTCTAAAACTGTGAGCCCTAAAAGCTCACAGATTTAGAGAAGCTACCAAGAATTTCCATCTCTATATTTGGAAATAACAACTCCAAATAAGAGAAAAGCATATCCTCACTGGTAAAACAAATGAGGGTTTGGAATGCTGCTACGTAGAAATAATGCAAGGACTATGCTTTTCTTGTTCATCACTATACTTGTGATGCTTATGAGAAGGCCTTGCACAGAGCTGACCTGTCATAAATACTGACTAATAACTCGATTCTCAGACTGGAGGAGTAGTTCAAGTTGCAGAACACTTGCTTTGCCTAGTAAGTGCAAAGCCTTAAGTTCAAACCCTAGTACTACCAAAAAATCAATAATTATAAGTTACAGTACCTTTACCTATGCCTACTTTTTTATATTTTATTATGCAAATATGAATGGGAAATGAAAGTTTAAAGAATTACACATGAACACCCACATAACCATCCATCATCTAGTTTCTACAATCAATATTTCACTACATTTGTTTCATTTCACACATATACACATACAAACACACCTATAAATTCTTTTATGCACTTATCAACATGTTCAATTTTTAAAGTATTCCCACATTGCAGATAGGAGATTTTGCTCCTGAATATTTATCTATGCATCATTACAATTTAGAATCCAGTAATTGTTTTATAGGGGTTGGTAAGCTAAAACTAATATATATATATATATATATATATATATATTAATATATATATATATATAATAAGATGATCTAATACTAACTGTTCACTTAATGAGTTTTAACAAACACCTACAACTAATTATATAATTCAAATTCTGATATTACTGTCATCTCAGAACATGTTCTTGGCACTTCCCAGCCAACCCCTCCCTAAAACCTTGAAGAGTAATCACTGCTGTGAATTTGTCACCACATTTTGCCCCCTTTCAAATTTCAAACAGAGCAGGACGATATGAACTCTTTGTGTATGGCTTGTGTGTATGTATCAGCACTGTCTAAATGATTCATAACTTATATGCTTCCTTGCTGGAAACCTAGGTTGTTTCTTGTTTCAGAATATTATCAATAAAGCTGCTACTATAACTCTATTAATACAAATCATGTTGTGATTATACTTTTCACATGTGTGTGTGTGTGTGTGTGTGTGTGAGAGAGAGAGAGAGAGAGAGAGAGAGAGAGAGAGAGAGAGTGTGTGTAGGGGTAGATTTGAGTTCAGGGTCTGGTGCTGAACTTGGACTCTATTGCTGAGCCAAACCTCCAGCCCTGTTCTGTACTGGTTATTTTTGAGAGAAAATCTTACTTTATGCCTGCTGTCCTCCTTATTTTTCACTTCCTGCTGTGGCTAGGATGACAAGCATGTACCACCAAACCAAGCTTCTTTTGTTGGAATGGAATCTCATGACTTTTCTACCCAGGTTGGCCTGGAACTATGGTTCTTCAGACCCACACAACTAGAATGACAGGCATGGGCCATTGCATCCAGCTATTGGTTGAAAGGAGATCTTATTTATGCCTAGGCTGGTTTGGAATCTCTATCTTCCCTAATTCAGCCTCTCAAGTAGCTAGATTACAGGCATGAACAATGGATGCTCAGCTATATTTTATCACTTCATCCAGGGAAAGATCTCACAGTGGAATTTGCCACTATGAGATGGTAAGCTAGAATGTGATCCTTCTATGCATGCTTCCCATGTAGCTGGGATGACAGACACATACCACCACACTTAGGTTTTATGGATTGAGATGAGGTCTCTTGAACCTTTTGCCCAAGCTGGCAACCAATCAAAGCTTCTTCCTATAACCTGTATTACATCATTAAAAACCTGCGGGGAATAGTAACCTTTTCTGTCAGGCCAATATGTCTTCAATTTGTAACCAGTTACCATTCTGTACCAGTATTTCTTTATACTGATATTTCCTGGAATTATTTCCTTCTTGACTTCAATTGTAACTATCATCTGTGTTGTTTGTAATCAGCCAGACAAGTCAAGGGTATGAATCCTTACCAATTGAGTAAAAGAACAGACCCCCATCCCTTTAAGTGAGACCTTTCCATTGATTTTACCGATCTTGTCCAACTGTTGTCATCAGCAGCCCATCCCCAGCCTGTAAAGAATGTGTGCCTTTGCCTCCAAAGGACAGTTTCCCCCCATAGGGGCCTTTCACTGACTGTTAGAGTGCTGTCTAACTTCCATTACCCTGGTAACCAACTGTAAAGAGAATATGAGCCTGATTCTAAGCTTGGCAACAGGAGAAGGGACATCACTCCTTAGGTTAAGTTAAGTATTTGGTGTACCTGTCTAACTCTAAGGAGAATGATAGCAGCCCTCTGCGCAGAAGTAAAATGCCTTGATGAAATCCCTTGTGTATCTATTCATTTTCTCCAACAAACCTGAGAGTGGCACTGTACTTCTGAAGATATTTGAGTACGATTGGTGTTATTACTGTTTATGTGCTTGACACAATTAATCACCAAAACCAATGAGTCTGGAGTTTGCTTTGTAGGAAGGTTGTCGATCACAAGTTCTATTTTTTAAGTAGCTACAGTGTTCTTCAAAATTTCTAGTTCAGCTTTTTTCAACTTACATAAATGTTTCAATGAGGAGTTTGTTTCACCCAAGTTGTCAGAGTATTAATTAATGATATTCCTCTAATATCCACCCTACTCCAATTAACTCCATTGCATGTCTGTAGGATCTACAATAATAACCTCTCTCCTCTACTTGATACAGTACTTAAGTGTTTTCCCTCTCTTGTTTTCTAGATCAGTTTACCTAAAGGTTTATCAACTCTGGTTGCAACTATGAAAAGGAAACCTGTTGAGGACGGTATTGGGGGTAGGAGCAAGGAATAGTAATAGAAAGGTAAAACTGATTGGAATACAGTGTAACTGCATGAAGATGCAATGATTAAATCCTTCCCTGAATAAGTAACATAAGCCAATTTTTTCAAAGTAAAAAATAAAAAGGTCACCAGGCACCAGTAGCTCACACCTATAATCCTAACTACTCAGGAGTGAGATCTGAGGATCACAGTTCAAAGCCAGCCTTGGGCAGGAAAGTCCATGAGAGACTTATCTCCAATTAACCATCAGAAAAATGGAAGTGGCACTATGTAAGTGGTAGAGCACTAGCCTCGAGCAAAAGAGCTCAGGTACAGTGGACAGGCCTTGAGTTCAAGCCCCATGAATGAAAATAAATAAATACATCTAATAAAAATTAAAAAAGTAATCATAATGGCTTCCTTCTTTAAGAAAAAGTTAAATTCACTCTTCAAAGAGCTTAGATGAGAAACCAAGTTTATCTTCATTAACAAATGCAAAACAAGCTAGCTACAGATTTCATTCTGCTTGTTATTGCTTTATAAAGAGACACAACGAGGATAAATGTTGTATCTGAAACTCTATTAACCATGGGCAGGGAAGGTGGCTCAGTGGTAGAGCACTTGCCTTGCATGCATGAGGCCCTGGGTTCGATTTCTCAGCACCACATAAGCAAAAAGAAAAAAGCCGGAAGTGGCGCTGTGGCTCAAGTGGTAGAGCGCTAGCCTTGAGCTGAAGAGCTAAGGGGCAGTGCCCAGGCCCAGAGTTCAGGCCCCACAACCGGACCCTAAAACAAAACAAAACAAAACAAAAAAAAAGCCGGGCGCTGGTGGCTCACGCCTGTAATCCTAGCTACTCAGGAGGCTGAGATCTGAGGATTGCAGTTCAAAGCCAGCCCGGGCAGAAGAGACCGTGAGACTCCTATCTCCAATAAACCACCAGAAAACCGGAAGTGGCTCTGTAGCTCAAGTGGTAGAGCACTCACCTTGAGTTGAAGAGCTGAAGGACAGGGCCCAGGCCCAGAGTTCAAGCCCCACGACCGACCAAAAAAAAAAAAAAAAAAAACCAAAAAACTCTATTAACCTGAAGATATGTATTTAGGTTGAAGAGTTTCTATTGTAGCTGTAGTCTTCGTTGAAGCAAAGTCATCTCAGTCTTTACTTCTGTAAGACCTTTCTCTTCTCTGACTAAACACAAAGTCATAGGCCATTTTACACATTTCCCATTCTGTGGCAAACTGGAAACACATCTGGTTAGTACCATAGGGCAGTACTATATGTCCTAAGTATGTCAAGGTCAAAACATACGCTCTTGTTTGAATCATTCAAGGCAATAGTCTTAAAGTTCACTAATACTATGATGTTTCACATAGCCAACAGCTGAAATTATACAGATACACACACATACACACACACACACAATTTCAAAGTTATTTACAAAAAGCCATAGGAGACATTTCTATGCTACTCTTTATGCTGATCCAAACTGAAACTGGTTCTTTATAGCACTATACTCAGTCTGTGCATGGTCATACCTCATGCACATGCAAAGAATTTCTCTAATTATAAAAGTCAGTTACCGTGTTCTTCCAGCCAATAAGCTTCTTCTTGGGTTTCCCCTATAAAAGTAGAAAGGACACCTGGGTTAGAGACCACTGTTTAGATATTCACTCTGGAGTTCACACACACAGGACACTGCAGTCTTGACAGCCTTATTATGGAAGTTAAACATAAAATTGGGCCACAAGGGGCTTTTTGAGGAGAAGCAGATCAACTGAGAACATTCTTAAAGAAGAGTAGAATACTATGACCTAGAGAAAGGATCAATTCACACACAAGGAAAAGGGCAAAGAAATTCTAGAGAAAAGTATTTACAATGGCTTGCTTTTCTCAATCTACTTACAAAACAAACCACACTCGCTCATCAGAACAGTCACATGGAAAAGATTGTTATTAGCCCCATTTATATAAAGCAGAAGGATGCTTCAACATCCTGCCCATGGCAGGGTTTGAGCAGTTTACATTCCAGCACAAGAGTTTAGATCTCACTTGCTATGCTCTTTATATTCTCATTGAGATATTTTAGGAAACAAAACCCATGATTCCCATGAGATAGAAAGAAGCTATTCATAAGGAATAGACTTTATACAACCAAAAATAAAAAACAAAATAGGAGTGGGGGGCGGTGGGGGGGGGGGGGGAGAAGAGATAATCTCCTTCCTTTGTCTCTAAACTAAGGTTGGACTCTAACCATAAGAACTAAGTCCCATTCATGTTTAAAGTGGCTTTTGTTTTTCTTGGAAAACATTCTTTTCTCATTCAATTTCTCTTTGCTTAACTCTTTTGGAGGAATAGAGGAGTATTCCCCAACTTTTATTTGAATTCATTTATACATATGTACATATGTAGTTTAGCAAAATGTTCCCACCTTTTTAGGTTCAGGTATCCACCACCACAGAGGAGATACTGGACAATGACATCACCCACTCCTCCCACAAGGACCTTTAGTAACTACTAACACTGTTTGCCTCATCCATATCTCCTTAACCTGTTTATTCTAAAATTTTGTCTCGGTTTATATCCTCAAACCCATGATCCTCCTGCCTCAGCCTTTCAAGTCCTAGAATTGCAGGCAGGTGTTATCACACCCAATTACAAGTTATTACAGCTGCAAAGTTTTTATATTTTGTTTTAGTTTGGTTTTTTGGTCAGTTGTGGGGCTTGACCTTTGGGCCTGGGCACTATCCCTCAGCTCTTCAGCTCAAGACGAGCACTCTACCACTTGAGCCACAGCTGCACTTCTGGTTTTCTGAGTAGTTTATTGGAGATAAGAGTCTCACAGAGTTTCCTGCCTGGACTGGCTGGCTTTCAACTGCGATCCTCAGATCTCAGCCTCCTGAGTAGCTAAGATTACAGGCGTGAGCCACTGACTCCCAGTTTTATAAAGTTTTTTATTGCTATACTACTATTAAAGAAATGCTTCCTAACTTGGGCGAGTACACTGGTTCCTAGCTTGTCTATTGTATTCCCCTTCTCCTTTCCGGGAAACACAAGTAGTATGGAAAGATCAGGTGTCAAGCATGGAGTATATGTCAGTCTAGAAATAATTCTATGCAGCCTATGAAAGAACCCATGCAAACACATACCTCTTTCTTAAAATTATACCTATTAAACATGAAAACTAATCAAAAAACAAAAACAGTTACTAGATATTAACATCAACTTGCCCAAATCAAATGTAAACTGAGTAAGTCTCTTGTGATAATATTGAATGAAAAAGACAAAGCTCAAGACTGATTTAGAATTTAAGATGTTTAAGAAATCTCCAAGATTACAAAATTAAGACATGTGATGGAAGCAGGGAAAAGTACAGAAGTGGGAAGGATATGGACAGCAGACTGTGTATAATAAAAGATCCACAGAGAGATAAGATAGAAAAAAAAAGAATATTTTCCAGAAGTGAAAAGCTGTACTCTTTAGACTTACTACAAAACTAAAATACTGAAAACTGACAAAGCAGACAAGACAACTTCTTCAGATAAAGAAACTTCAGATAAAGAAATCTGTGACTAAGCCGGGGGGGGGGGGGGGGGGGGGGGGGGGGGGCGCCAGTGGTTCACTCCTGTTAGCCTAGCTACTCAGCCAGCCAGGGCAGGAAAGTCCATGAGCCTCTCTCTTTTCTACAATAAGCCACTCAGAAAACTGGAAGTGGGCTGTGACTCAAGTAGAGTGCTAGCCTTGAGCTGAAGAGCTCGGGGACAGCCCATGCCCAGAGTTCAAGCCATACAACCAACATATAAATCAATCAATCAATCAATCAATCCATCCATCAATCAATCAATCAATCAATCAATCAATCTATGGCTGTATTTCCCAAGTAGATTCGAAGATCTTTCATCAAAAGCTACTCATCTAATAACAAAAGTATTTACCACAAATGCACAGTGGTAAAGTAAAAATATGTATTTCTTATCATCGAAAATGAAATAGCTGAAATCTATTTTAAGAATCCTTAAAAAATTCTCAAAATAATATAAATCTCTCTAAATAAATTGGGTCACTTGTTCTGATGACTAATTACTAAATTCTTCTTCAATGTAAGGCTATAAACATATGCAGGACTAAATAGTCAATCTCTGTTCCTTCAAATGCAGTGTCTGTTTTCTCATTCATCTGTTTCCCCTTGTAGTGAGAAAATCAACTATAAGTCTTACAAGTCTCGGTGTGATTTTGGGAGGATTTACTTTTTTTGATTACACTTTTGGGGATTATACTTTTTTTTTTTTTTGGTTGGTCATGGGTCTTGAACTCTGGGCCTGGGCACTGTCCCTCAGCTCTTCAGCTCAAGGTTAGCGCTCTACCACTTGAACTACAGCACCATTTCCAGTTTTCTGATGGTTTATTGGCAATAACAGTTTCACGGATTTTCCTGCCTGGGCTGGCTTTGAACCGCGATCCTCAGGTCTCTGCCTCCTGAGTAGCTAGGATTACAGGCGTGAGCCACCAGCGCCCGGCTTTCACTTTTTTTGATCTGATAATTCTACTCTCTTCTACAAAAACATATAACCATGTTCAAAATGTGTCCTAGACAAATGGTTACTGAGTGAGAATCTTCTGAGACGAAAGATAAAGTCTAGGGCATCTATTCAAAGATCTTTATGGTTTACTTTTTAGTTTTTCAAAATGTTTCAAGTTGTTGAGAATTATTAACAAATTCTACAAAGAAATTACATTTCATTTCCTAAAAAATCTTTTCTATCACTTTTTTAAAAATTTATTTCCTTCTATCACTTATGCTTTCTCCTAATTTTAATGATTTCAGCTTGAACTCGCAAATTGAGCAAATCCCCACCTGTCCTGGAAGAGCCGTGTTGCTAGCATATAATTCATAGAGGTTTTGTGTTCGAGGTAGGACCTGAAGGATAAAGAAAGAAATCAGTTATTCCTTTAAAGAAAAACATAATTGCTGGGGGGTACAGAAAGGTAAGGAGAAAGGATAAACAAATGCAATCATGGTATTCAGTGAAAAATAAACTATGTGAAAAATAAACTGTGCAACTTGTAGGCAGGGATGGATAGGAGGGGAAAACAGGGGGAAACAAATGAAGAGTGACATTGTCCAAAAAAGAAGTATACTCATTACCTGACTTATGAAATGGTAACCCCTTTGTACAACCCCTTTGTATAATACCAATAAAATTATGTTTTAAAAAAACAACAGAAAATAAAAACAATTGCCTATTTTTTTATTCAACAGTATTAAGGTTTGAACTTGGAGCCTCATACAAGCAAGGCAGGTACCACTGAGCCATACATTCAGCCCTCAAACATTCTTTAAGCTTGGTTCAAGAGGAAAATACACAGTATGTATGCACAGAAATTATTATATTTAAAGTCACAGAAGTGACTATATCTACTATGTCTAAAGAAGCTATTGTTAAAGTATCAAAAGGGGACAGTTACTCAAATTAAAATTATAAAATACTAGAGTAGCAGCAAATGGAATCTAATTAGAAGATTAAAAAAAGAACTTAATTTAGAAAATTAAAAAGGCAACTTTTTTAGGGTTAATAAAAGGTGATATATACTAAATTCAGGAAATAAAACTATTGAAAGATAAAAAGGAAACTACCATATAAATTACATAAGTAAAAGAACTCATATGGGGCTAGCATGGAAGCTGCATAAAGGGTATGAAAATTAAACAAGAAAGTGAATTGTGCTCTTCCCCAGCTCGAGAGCTCTCAGTGGCTCCCAGATGACTACTGCATGAAGCACACACCTTATCTTCCAAACTTCCACAAGGTGGGTAATCTGTACTACACAGTTTTCCAACACTGACCCTGCAGTAAAGCCAGACAAGTCTCCTCAAGTCCTCTTACTCCATACTTCCCAAGGATTCTTTGTTTCTTACTGGACATCTTTCCCCAGTAAACATGACCGCTCAAATCCACTCTGCTACACGAAACCTCCTGTTAGGCTACTCCAAGTCTGCAGAATTTTCCTTATCTGAATGAACTTCCCTGGTATTCCCCATACACAAGAGACCTGTCATACACTGTCTCACAGGGTATTTCTTCTAGGAAAGCTGCATTATACAATCCAGACCCAAAAAGAAACCCATGAAACACACCCAAGAATATTTATAGTACATCTGTCCTTAACAGCAGAAGACCAGTAAGAAGCAAAATGTCCAACAGGAAAATGGAAAAAAATCAATAGCAAGATACACAGTAAAATACAATAAAACACTGAAAAGAAATGAGACGTAGCTCTACCCAACAACATGAACCACAGTAACATAATACTAAAGCAAGACTGCATAAAATGCATGCTTTTTGTTTAGAAAAATTTCAAAAGCAATTAAAACTGATTGAACAAGAGAATTCTGCTTTTACATACAAGAAGCTGCGGCAGGCCATTCCTTCTGCAGCTACTAAAGTACACAAGATATAAAAAACAAACAACTGTTTCTGAACATGAAACAAAAGGCAGGTCAGGACTGTGAGCTCTGAAAGAGAAATACATGCAGTAAGATCTAACCAGTTCTGCCTTTCTGTCAATGGGCAATTTCCAGACCATGCAAGAAAAAGGGGAATTCAAGTAGAGCCCACCAGTCCCCAAGATAAGAGGAGAGAAATCAAAATTCTAAGAAGCTAGAATCTTCAAAATAATGTATTATCCAAGAAATATTGTACTCATTACCTGACTTATGGAACTGTGACCTCTTCATACAACTTCTTAACAATAACAAAAAAAGTTTTCCAAATCTTATGAAAGCTAAATGTTCACAGAGTTATAAAAACTCAATGAAGCTCCAGAAGAAGCATTTAGAAAGTAACCAAGGTGCATCAAAATCATCTCTTGATGATTATGCCGACACTCAGTCATCAAGAGACCATCTTAAAAAGTAAGCTGAAGAAAAGCAGAATGGCTATATATTTCTCCTGCAAAACACAAACAAACAAAAGAAAACTCATTGGAAAAAAAGATGGGCATTGTTCAAGTAGTGAGAAAGTGTCAACTCAGAATTCTATAGCTAGTCAAGAAATTCTTTTTGTTGTTGTTGTTGGCTTGAACTCTGGGCTTGGGTGCTATCCCTGTGCTCTTCAGCTCAAGGTGAGCACTCTACCACTTGAGCCACAGCGCCACTTCTGGTTTTCTAGTGGTTTATTGGAGATAAGAGTCTCATGGACTTTCTTGCCTGGGCTGGCTTTGAACTGTGATCCTCAGATCTCAACCTCCTGAGTAGCTAGGATTACAGGCATGAGCCACCAGCACCTGGCTAAGAAATTCTTTGAAACGTGAAAGCAAGACTTATAGAGAAACATAGGTTGAGAGAATTTGTTATCATTAGATCTGCATTACAACAAATCCTAAAAGAAGTTCTTCAAATGGAAGAAAACCTAACCATTGAAAATGGTAAGATGTATGTAATTAAATTTTTTCTATTTAAATTTCCTTAAATGATGACTATTAAAGAAAATACAACAACGCACTGTAGCACTTCATAGAAGCATTAGATGATAATAACACAAAAGACAAGAAGAGAAAATGGGAAGTATATTGATTGTAAAGTTCCCATATAAAACAAATAATATTATTTGAAGGTAGCATTATAATAAGTAAAAGATATATATTGTCTCCCTTCAGCAATAACATGAGACAAGTAAAATGAAGAGTCATAAAAAATTAATCAATCCAAAGAAGTTGAGAGAAAATGAAAAAGATAATCAAAGCACAACAGATAGAAAAGGAAATAATAAGCTAAGGGGTGCTGGCTCACATCTATAACCCTAGCTACTCTGAAGGCTGAGATCTAGAGGATCATACAAAGAGGCCAGCCTGAGCAAAAAAAAATCCCTGAGACTCCATCTCCAAATTAACCAGTAAAAAGCTGGGCTAGAGGCCTGGCTCAAATAGTATAGCACCAGCCAAGCAAGTAAATAAGTTAAGCTAAGCCATTTCAAGGTCCTGGGTTCAAACCTCACTACCTCCTTCAAAAGAAAACAATTAACAATAAACTGTAAAACCTAGTAGCAATGAGCCAATTCCTAAAAATATACAATTTACCAAGACTGAGTTACAAAGAAATAGAATAACAGAATAGATCAATAAGTAAGTACATTTAATCAGCAATGAAACCTCTCAACAGAAGCTGTTGATCAATAAAGAGTTGTGGCATGTGGAAAGGGAAAGTAGGGGAAGGTAATTCTTAGCAAAATAAAATGTGTGCATGTTTGAAATATTGTGGTGAAATTTTGTCGTCATTAATACAAGCTAAAAAAATGGGGGGAGGGGGAGAAAAGTAAGGTAGGCTCTGTTGGGGGTGAATGCCAGTGGGAAGTAGAGGGCTGATAAGAAGGGTGAATGAGAATAAACATGGTTGAAGTGATTTGTTTACGTATATAAAAAGAGAATAGTAAAACCTGCTGAGGTGGTTTTGAGAGAGGGGAATAGGATAAGGGAGAGTGTTAGAATGAGTAAAGTTAATGGGGGATACATTATATACATGTGTGGAAATGCCACAATGAAACTCCTCTTCTACAACCAAGGTGTGCTCATTGAAAAAGTATTTTTAAAAAAAGCTCACGCTTGCATCCCTAGCTACTCAAAAGACTGAGATCTGAGGATCCTGGTCAAAGCTAGCCCAAGTAGGAAAGTCTGTGAGACTCCTATCTCCAATTAACCACCAAAAAGTCAGAAGGTAGCTGTGACACAAATGGTAGAGCACTAGTCTCAAGTGAAAAAAGAAAAAATCCAAAAGCTCAGGGACAGCACCCAGACCCTGAGTTCAAGCCTTAGGACCAGCACAAAACAAATTAACTAACTAAATAAGTTCCTAGTGAAAATGAAGAGAACCAAAAGGAAGAGGAAGAGGAGGAAAAAGAAGAAAGTGTTGCTGCCTAGGATTAGATGTCTTCAATGTTAAATTATGTCAAATATTTTAAAAATTAAAACCAGTTCTTCTCAAACTATTTTTTAAACCAGACATTAAGAAAACACTTCCAAATTCATTCTTTAAGAATAGCACTATTCTGATATGAACACTAAAACTTCAGTGAACATAGATGAACAAATACAAAAATCCTCAGTAAAATATTAGCAAAAAAAATGTTAAAAAGGACATTAAAAGACCCACTATAAAAAAGTAGGAATTATACCAAGATGTAAAGATGTTCCCAATATGCAAATGAGCAGTTGTGCTATTAACAAATGAAAGACAAAAATCTGTAAACAGCCAATAATTGCAGAAAATAACTGCATGTGACACAACGCAACAATCGCTTCATGACAACAACAGCTTGTGAATCCATGCTCAGTATCATCATTCCTCTGAGAAAAGCGATGAAAACCAGAGAGATCCAGTAGACTGCTTAAACCTTATGCCTGGGTCATGAGCAGAGCTTACTATAAAGGGTCCTGAAGGGACTTTTGGACTTAATGGAGATGTTTTGTATGGTGACTGTAGTAGAGGGAGTAAGCTGGTGATTATATTTGTAAAAAAAAAAAATCAAAATAGACACTTAAAATAGATGCAGTTTATCATATATAAAAAAATCTCTGAGGACTGGGAAGGTGGCTCAGTGGTAGAGCGTTTGCCTTGCATGCTTGAGGCCCTGGGTTGGATTCCTCAGCACCACATAAGCAGAAAAAAAAAAGCTGGAAGTGGTGCTGTGACTCAAGTGGTAGAGTGCTAGCCTTGAGCTGAAGAGCTGAGGGACAGCGCCCAGGCCAGAGTTCAGGCCCCACAAACAGACCCCAAAAAAAAAAAATCTCTGAATTTGAATTCAGAGATAGTTAAAAATAAGTAATGTAGCTGGGTGCCACTGGCTCATACCTATAATCCTAGCTACTTAATCTGAGTATCAAGGTTCAAAGCCAACCCAGGCAGAAAAGTCCCTGTGAGATTCTAATCTCCAATTAACCAGTCAAAATCTGGAAGTGGTGTTATGGCTCAAGTGGTAGAGCACTAGCCTTAAGACAAAGAGGTTTAGGGACAGCACCCAGGCCCTGAGTTCAAGCCCTACAACCAGCCCCCCCTACCCAAAAAAAAGCAGTGTGTTGTTCAAGAATATAGACTGATAAAATAATTTTTTAAATCATGTGAATGATAAACAAAACACAGGACAGAGGCAAAGGATTAAAATAAGGGGAAGAACCACACCCAGGTGGATCACATTATATTACATGACTGTGATGGGTTCTTGGGTTGATAACAGTCATCATATTTTAGATAAATAGACAAAATAAGGAAGACATTTTATGGGGAACAAGGATGCAGTGTGTCACAATATAATTCTACAAACTAGATTTGCAGTTAAAAAAATTAAAATGGTAGTCACCTCACCCATATAATTCCCATGTCTCAGATGTAGGAAATATGCGAATAAATCCACCTCTCCGATCATTTTCCTCCTTTACCCTCCGTAAAACTTTGATCTAGATGGAGGAAGAGAAAATAAGATGAGAAAGTACTTTGAAACCTGAAATCTATGTGGACAAGAGAAGAGAGCTGTAACCCTAAACTATAACAAAAGCATGTAGGGAGGAGTTAATTCCATTTAACATGTTCTCTGAGAAGAAATTTCTCCCATATCAAATCTTTCCCTCTTAGATGTAAGACAGAAGAATACTATGAATCACTACTAATTTTAACTGAACCCTGTATTAACCCATGAAGGCCTGAAGTGGAGTTATCTTTACCTCCTCCATAGACAGCCCAAGCACAGAACCACCTAACTTCCCCAGCATTTTCTCCCGGCTTGAGCTCACAAGGTTTTTCATTTCTGCATCACTGGCAGAGAGTGGACGGGAACGCTAAGGATAAGAAATAAAAACAAAAAATTTTAATTTTTTATTGTCTTTCCTCATCTTCCTGAATTCATTCCCTGAACATCAGTATCTTTCCTGACAGGATTAAGCTTGAATCTATAGCTCAAATTCCATAAATTCCACAATTAATTTCTTAGCTAGAAACCTGGGAAAGAGATAAAAGCAGTAAATTCTTAGGCAAAAGAAGAAAAAGAAAACAGAATAGTAGAAAAACACGATGAGTAAGAAAGAAATAAGAAAAAAAAAGATGATGAGGATAAGGAGAAAACAGAGGGAAAAAGGGGGAAGAATGATGCCTACAGGTTTTCCTAAGCTACTACATACTCTTAGTCTTGGTTTTAAAGTACATCTAGTGTTTCAAGGACAGAGAAAAAGTCTGAAAACAGCTTCATAGAAAAGTAAATGGGTCTTTATTCCAGTAAGTAAGTACATTTTTTTTCTTGCCTGGGGGAAGGAGAATTGGGGGAATTGAGACATGAGATGAAAAACCAAGAAGCAGTCCATTCTGCCACAAATAAAAACAGGCTATGGGATATTTAAGAAATCAAGGGAAACACTGAGACAAGATCATCAGTGACTCAGAGGAAAGCTGTGATGAAAAAGGCCAAGGAAAACTGTGGCTGCTGAACATCAAGAGACTGAAATAGAACTGACTGCCCTGGTACTCCAAGGTGGCCATAGTCATCATGGATCTCACAGATAACCCAGGTTACCTCCACTTCCAAAGGATGATAAGGGAGGTCTTTTGAGTATCAAAGCTGATCATATAAACAGAGAACACAGAAAGGTAGCAAAAGAGATCAGATGGTTTTAAGCAAGCTAACACATTATTATTGAAACAGGTGAAGTAACTGATAAAATAAAGCAAACAGATCTGCCAAGAGAAGTAATCCAAGAACTAGTGATACAAATTGTCTTCCTAGATTTCTGGAAGAAATTTCAACCTGGAAGAAGCAGCCTCATTGTCAGCAGCTGTTACTGTGTGATGCTGGTATCTCTCCAATATTCCTATGTTGAAGTCTTACCCTCGGTGTGATAGTATTTGAAAATAGAGACTTTGAGAGGCAATAAGAATCAGATGAGGTCTTGAAGTAGGGGCCTTGGTCTAATGGGATTAATGCCAGAAATTGTGCTTGTTTCCACAAGTTCTCCCTGGTATAGGTAAGTAAAAACACATCATGTGGGCATACAACTGTGGCCATATAAATAACAGTCAAGATAAGGCCTCAGAATTAAATTCAGTTTTCTGGCAACTCCATCATGGGCTTCCAGCCTCCAGAACTCCAAAAAAAAAAAATTATGTTGTTAAGCAACTTGGTCTATAGTATATTGTTATGATAGCTCAAGATTAACACGTCCACGTATACAAAAAACCATGAATGATTTTATCTTTCAGCACAAGGGAGACCAACTCAATATTAATCTTTAAAGTTAGTAATAAAGTCATAAAAACTAAATTTTCTGATAGGAAACTGGTAAGATATTTATATAAAGGAAAACCATGAAATCAATGATGTAAGTAGCATAGAAAAGCAGGGACTCTTCATCTGCTCAGCTCATATCTAGATTATTACTTGGCATGGAATAAACCAACAAAATATTAGTTAAACAAATAAAGGAATGAATGTGCTGACAAACAATTCAATCTTGTGTAGCACTAAAATTTGCAGGAAGATGTCAGGAAATATTTTAATTCCCTTCAATCTAGGAATACATTAAACAGTATGTGTTGGAGTAAGAGGGCAAAACTAGGAAAGTTTAAAGATGTAGGAAGGAAACAAAGCATATAATGATTTTATGGTACTTATTTAATTACACATAATATTAAAAAGTCAAAATGCTAAATGGATGGTTTGAGATTTTTCTCACAGTCACCCATTATTCTTTACCCAAATCATACTTATCCTAGTTCACATGTGAGAGCACAGTTCTAATCACAAAGCCACATAAAGCCACTGGCAGTGCATCCTCCAAGGTCAAGAAGCTTTCTTACCTGATGCTATTTAAGGTTATTCAGAAGTTATCTCAAATTATATCATGAGAATAAGAAGTAGCATTTATTTAAATGATATGATAAAAATAAAGATCTTCTTATTAAGCATTTAAACATAGAAAGAATGCTATTTAAAAGTACTGATGAAGCTGGGCTTTTGTAATAATAGCTACTTGTGAGGCTGAGATCAAGGTTCAAGGACAGCCCAGGAAAAAAGTTCATGAAACTCCTTCTCAACCCATAGGTGGGTGCAGAGGCATGCACCTGTCATCCCAAGCAACATGAGAGGTTGAAATTGGGATGGTAATTGCTACACCAACCAGGGCAGAAAAGTCTTAAGACACTCTACTTCCACAAAGTGAAGTTGGACTGGTGGTACATGCCTGTGTTCCCAGAAATGATGGAAAGCTTAAAGTAGGCAGATTGTGGCTCAGGCATGTGCCAAAGGAAGGAAGCAAGACCTATCCTGACAAAAAAGAAAACATCAAAAAACAGGCTGCTGAGTACCAGTTCATGCCTATAATCCTTGGTACTCAGGAGGCTAAGATCTGAAGACTGCTAGTATAAGAACAAAAACCATTGAACAGGAGGAGTCCCCCATTCCTGTCCTCTTAAATTAAAAAAAAAAACAAACTAAAAAACTAAATTCCCTGTATAGAAGAAAGTGACAGTTAATCTCAAATACTGCCCACAAGGACAGTAAGAGAGGAAATGTTGATCATGCCACATGAAATACATTTGTCTTTATTTTGCAGGGTAGCACAGGAAGGCTTCCAAGATCATTATATATGTGAAGTACCAGCTATTAAGGAACTCAAATATAGCCCTAGACCCATGTGAAAGGGTTTTAATATCAAGCTGCTAGCAACAGTATCTGTTTCATAAGATGTCTAACAAAAAAGAAAACTCATTTGTAAACTGTAATAATTCCCTTCTCAAATATTTTGGTCGAAGCCACAGATAAGCCAGGAAACCCTGTTCATCATTTAAATTCAACTGCCTCTACCACAGCATGATCACTGTCATGAAAACAGGACTCCTAAGTTCCTGCATCCTCTATTCTCATATTGTATTGCCAAGAAGACCTCTGTGTATTTCTTTTCATTTACTCTATTTTGTGTTATATAACTATGCACAAAACAGGTACATGAAATATGTACCATGAAAGGCTAAAGCTAAAAGGCTTTATGAATGAAGTCTCCCAATGATCCAGAACTTACCTGCTTGGTGTTTGATGACTGAAACTGTGCAGATACTGGACGCTATAAAAGACAGAAAAATGGAATAAAGCCTCATCTTCTCCTAACATGCCTACATTTTCCATCTCCTCCATCTATGACATAAAAAGGAAATAGTAATCTCCAAGCACAGATCAAATGCAAGAGCCCTACCTACATTTTGTGGTTGCAAACTCAGAGCATTTACTGTTTACATGGCTTTCGTCTACACCATTTGTATTTCAGCATCAATTTCTACTTCAACTTTTACTTCTATTGCCAAGTACTGAAGATCCTGAAGTTAACTACCCCACCTGACAAACTGTTTTATACAGTACATGTAACTAATCTACAGTGCCTTTATACAAGATTTCCAGAGGCTGATTGTGGATGACATCATACCATTACCTACCAGTTAGCAAAACAAGCATTGAATAGATTCTCTATGATTTGCAAAGAATTGCCAAATAAAAGCTGACAGGCAGGCTAAGAAGCTAAGAAAAGGGATCCATTCATTCAAGATTAGTATACAGCTACTCTTAGGAGAGAAACTTGGCAGAAATGGTGTTAACACTGCACAGAAACACTCATAGTCCTTTATGCATAATTCTGCAGCTCTTGCCACAGATGCTACAGGAAACAATTTGCAAAGGAATGTGATTGCCTAAAGTCAGTTTTCCTATTACATCTAGGTTAATTCTCTACATTATTAAAAATTAAAAGAAAACCCTTTGATCTGTGATGAAACAGTGATTAGGTAAAACTCTGGTGCCTCATTTTATTTCTCCTGCAAGATAATACCACTTACAATACAGTACACTCTGTTCCACATCGCCACACTCCTTAGTTAATCGTTCCGGGGAAAGGGATCACAGATAGGTGGCCCATGGACTGAATCCACCTAAGAGACATGTTATAATTGGACTGCAAAGGTTGTTTTTTTTAAATTAACTAGTTGCTAATATATAAAGGTAGTATTTCTGATTTCTCTTGACAATGGGAAGATCTTTCCATACCCTTTGTTCACACTCATGTACAGCAGTGATCAGCTAGAGCACATTTACTAAACTGCTGCCCCTTTGCCAGAAGGCCTGCACTTTCTAATTAACCTGTCTTTTCACCCTGGCTGTATGAGACCTGCCCCTATTTACCTCATTTCCATCACCTGCCTTATAGGCATCCTCGTTTGAAAACCCCGTTCTAATGAAAAGTTATCTAAATAATAATATATGAGCTTTGCAAACAGAAATAGTACTACTCCAAATAAGACTAACAAGGAAGAAAGAGGAGCAGGAAAAGGAATGGCAGAAAAAAGGAGGAAAAAGTGGAGAATATTGAAAAAAAGAAGAGTTGAAGTGGAGGTGAGAGAGGGATCAAAAGAAGAAGAGGCAAAAGGGAAAGAAGAGAGAAAAGGAGAAGACATTATTTCTGCCTTCAAAGAGCTTATAGACTAGCAGAAGAGTATTAGACAAAATACAAGTAACATGAATGCAAAATAGCATGCACATCAAGTGGACAACCTTGAGGTAAAAGTAAAGAACACTAAAGAGTGAGAGGAATTAGTAAGAAAAAGTCTCTAAAATTTCTGAGTAGGCAAGGTAATCAAACCAAATGGGCAGAGAGTAGGTAGATCTTTTAAATAAGAAGAAATCTTAAAGGCAAAGAAACAAAAGTGGAAATAAGCAATACTAACATATTCAGGGACTGAAGAGATGATAGAATAAATAGAAGGACTAGCTGTTTAAATAGAAGAGAATGAAGAGTACACAAAAACCAGAACAATGCTTGATCAAAAGATGCTTCTAAGACCCACAAGTTTCTTTGGGCACATATTTCATGCAACTTCAACCAATAACTCATGACTACTGGAGGGTCTTTTGAAGAGAACTACTTGTAGAAAAGCTGCTATTTCAATGGAGCATCTTTATAAAACCAGTCTGAAGATTGGAAAGAATGTAGTAACGATTAAGAATTAATAGGCACCCTGTCTGTGCTTTGTTTATGAGCTTGTCAATCTGAGGGGAAGGGATATGATTTTTAAAAAGAGAAAGGAAAAAGGTAAAGTAGGAGAAAAAAGAAGCTGGCAGAAAAGACAAAACAAACGCAGAAGGTAAGTTTGTTGGAAAGCACTGAAGGCATACACTATTAGCTGCAGCTGAACATAACTGCCATGATCTAGACTGATCTCTAAATTCTCCTGCCCCAAGTGACCTCACATCCATAATGCTTCAGCTTCCTCATCTGCATCTGCTACCACTTCCCAGAAAGCCTCTTTTCGTCTCCCTCCTGCTGCCTTTGCTTACCTGAGGTTTCTGGAATGGATTTCGCCTGGAAGACTCAAAGGTGGGATAAATTGGCCGGGTTGTTGCCCGCTGGGCAGGATCTTGGCATACAAATCCTGAATAGGGAATGGGCAACGTTAAAACCTGTCATTTTCTAGAAATTAACAGGTTTGGCTGCACCTTTAGATGTACAAAACTCAGTTTCACAGCATAATATTACAGAAATTCAGTCATAAATATTACAGACAGCCATCCTCAAGAAGATAATGCTGGTTGGGCAGCTGAAATGTAATTCTGACTGAGAAAGAGGTATAGGCTTTTTTTTTAATGAATCCCAAATAAATGTGCAAATAAGCACGTTGAGACATGTAATTGTTGAAAGATAAAGTTATTTTACAATGACTTTTGCATACTAATTAAAACCAATGTTGTATTACATTGAAAACAACTTGTGAGTGGGGAAGGGAGGGAAAAGCTGGAAGACAGCAAGGGAAGGGGTGACACTGTCCAAAAAGAAATGAGTTATGTAACGGTAACCCCTCTCTACACATCACCTTTATAATAACAATAAAAATACATGACAAAAAAATATTGTCTCTACTCAGAGAATCTGAAAGGCAGTTGTCCTATTATATGGTATACTTGTAGAATTGTCAAATGTAGTCTATTAGCAATTTCCAAAATGGGTTTTTTAGATTATCTATGGCTTCAGAATTGGGCTTCAGATAATTTTACTTCCTTCCTAAAGAAACAGGTTCTCATCTAAGAAAAAGAGATGTGCTAAGTTTTTACAGCACTTGCTGGTACATCAAGTACCAGATCATGTCAAGTATATTTTATTATGTCTTTTTAGGGAACTAAAAAACAACAATAAATCCACATCATACCCATCTGACGTTTCAAAGTTCGGCTTATCTACTTAAAATGGGATTTCTTCCTAGGGCTGCTCTGGCTATAACTACTACAGAAGGGATCATGTTGAGACCAGTAGAGACTGGCTAGCAGAAATACAGTCAGTTTCCTTTGTAACAAAGCTTCCTCAGTGGGTTTCACTTTTCCAGTTCAGAGAAAAATACACTTTCTACAGATCTTCACTTAATTCTCTTCCTCAGCTCATAATTCCCATGCCCCAGGTCTCAGCCTTAGTTGTGGTTCAGCCTCAGGACAGGATGGAGCCAGAGGGAGTAGAAACATAAACACTTCCCTGAAAATATAATTTTTTAGTACAAAGCATTTAGCATGGCTTAGGAACTGCCAGTTGGCAACACCTATGGAACCTAGCAAAAATGGATGCTCTGGTTAAGTTTTATGTGAGTCAGGCTCAGAAAACACTACTTACCTACAACAGTGAACATATCTGAAATCATACTGGCTTTAATCTTTAGGTCCAGAGGTGCATCACTAATAGAACAGAGAAAGAAAGCAACTGATAGTTCTGTAGGTTAACAGAATAACTGCCTAATAGGCTCAATATAACAAAGTTCCCAAATGTCATTGAAAAGCACAGCAAATCCATGGAAAAATAAAAAAGAAATCTAGAGAGAAAGCAAGAAATAAAAGTCTAGTGTTAAACTTATCTTTCCTAAGGTTGGCCCAGTACTAATGCCTTGATTCTCTGATGTGTAATCTTTGTATTATACGAATTTTGTACAAGTCAAGAAGATTGCTTCATTATCACTGTGGGTTTTAGAGGTTCAGACTTTTAGTATGCTTTGTTATGAGTGTGTCCATCATCCTAATTATGTTTCACTACTGCAATGGTAGAATCACATTCACATGCAAGACAAGAAACTCTAGCCCCATTTGTATTTTTTTTGTCTTTATTTTCTGTTCTAAATAAATATTCCTAGACTGGCAGGTTTGTAAATAGCAGAAAGATATACACAATCTCTCTAGATGAAGCAGCAGGACCATGACACCGAAGCAACATGGAAAAGCAAAAGATCTCTGTGGCAATAACTGCCATGCTGGCTTTGGTGTTAAGACTATTCTGGCTGCTGGGCCCACAATGCATCACTCGGGGGATCTCTAACACTGTCTAATACACTTCACTGAGCAATATGCAAGAGGCTGACAGAAACATAAGCATCTGTAGTATCTAGGCTCTCCACCTTACTACTGAGGTTAAGCCAAATTCCTGCTCCAAAAGTCAAACTTCTATTTGATTCCTTGGCATTTTGCAACCCTCTCTTAACCTTAGAAACTCAGAAGCTGGGTGGTCTTTGGCATAAATCTCTAGTATTTTCTGTTTAGAGTAGCATATAGCTAATAGAAATTCCTAGAGCTACAGATGTAATCAGAATCTTCTCTGGGATTAAAAAATAGGTTTATTTCCTTCCTGTAAACAACAGATAGGTCTAAAAACTTTTTTTAAGATAAAGTTTTTTAGATTTAATCTTTGATGAATACCAAGACATGGAATGGGGTGAAAAGTACACTTCTTGGGGTCCAGCATTCTACCTTTACTCTGTGTGTGTGTGTGTGTGTGCGCGCGCGCGCGCACATGTGAAATGGATCTGTATAAATTTTCAGTATTTAAAGAAACCTTTTGTATTTCTTTAGTCTTAACAGAACACCTACAAAATGAAAAAAAATGTTTAAAAAATGTAGGGTTCAAAAGTGAGTGCAAGAATCATCCAGGAAGCCATATAAACAGTAAACATATATTGCAAATTAATTGGCTAGAAAGACAATGATCCCTAGTTGCTATATGTGCTTTGACATGACACCATAAACCATCTCAATTTCAAAATTGCAGTCATGGGGCTGCGAAGGTGGCTCAGTTGTAGAGTGCTTGCCTTGCATGCATGAGGCCCTGGGTTCAATTCCTCAGCACCACATAAGCAGAAAAAGCCGGAAGTAGCGCTATGGCTCAAGTAGTAGAGTGCTAGCCTTGAGCTGAAGAGGTGAACTAGGCCCAGGCCCAGAGTTCAGGCCCCACAACCAACAAAAAAAACAAACGAATAAAATTGCAGTCATCTCTAATAACTAGAAAAAAGTCTTCTAGTGTCAATGGAAATGACTCCCCACCACCAGTCCCACCCCAGAAAAGTTTTTTAGTGCCTTTGCAGAGTTGTCCTTTTCTAGTTGATAGAGCTGACTTACCAGGCCAAAGAAGGAGAGAGATTCACTTCTAACAACCATGGCTTCAGAGTAGAATCTATGAGCACGTCGAAGCCATACAGTTCTAGAAACACAACACAATATATAAAACATCATTTTTCATGTCATCCCTGCATAAAAATCTTAAAAATCCAAGCCAATCAACTGCTGCAAGAGGCCCAGAAACTCACTGACTATAAGAAGTGATCCTAGAAACAGAGAATCTTTCAAGCTCAAAAGAGGTTATCAAGCTCAAGGATAGTTTTAAAAATAACACTATAACCAGGTGTGGGACTACATGCCTATAATACTAGCTATGTGGGAGGTGGAGGACAGGAAGATAGCAGTTTGAGATCAATGCAGGAAAAAAAATTAATGAGACCCCACCATAACAAACAAGGTGGGGATGGTAGTAGATATATACCTGCAATCCCATCTAGACAGGAGGGCATAGGTATGAGGTTCAAGGTCTAAAGCTAGTCCTAGACAAAAAAGCAAGACCTAATGTAGAAAATAACTAAAAGCAAAAAAAAAAAAAATACAAAAAGCAAAACAAAACAGTGGGGGAGGAGAAGCTGGATCAAGTGGTAAAAGTACTACCAATTATGAAGCTCTGAATTCAACACTGCCACCAAAAATTAGCCACTATGTTGGACACTGGTGCCTCACACCTGTAACCCTACTCAGGAGGCTGAGATCTGAGGATCAAGGTTCAAAGCTAGCCCAGGCAGGAAAATCCATGAGATTCTTACCTCCAATTAACCACCAGAAAACCGGCAGTGGTGCTGTGGCACAAGTGGTAGAGCACTAGCCTTAGCTGAAGAGCTCAGGGACAGCAACTAGGCCCAGAGTTCAAGCCCTACAATTGACCCTCCTCTCCCCACCCCGCCAAAAAAATTAGCCACTATAAAATTTACTTTTATCATCTGCTCTAGTGGTATTCTGAGTTCTGCAAAGATAGTAAGCTGACTTTAGAACAGAAAATATAATTGTGCTGCTCTTACAGGTTAAGGAAAAAAAGCTGTCCAGGAATGAAGCAACAACATCTTAATAGTGCTGTTTCAGGCTGGCTCTGGATGCTCTCCTACACTACTCCCTGCCACACTCTGAAAACAGAAAAATCTATAGAAGACATCTCCCTAGGAACCTTCTGTTGCATTTTCTTTTCTTTTCTTTTCTTTTTTTGGGTCCGGTTATGGGGCCTGAACTCTGGGCCTGGGTGCTGTCCCTCAGCTCTTCAGCTCAAGGCTAGCGCTCTACCACTTGAGCCACAGTGCCACTTCCGGCTTTTTTCTTTTTGCTTATGTGGTGCTGAGGAATCGAACCCAGGGCCTCAGGCATGCAAGGCAAGCGCTCTACCACTGAGCCACCTTCCTAGCCCCTTCTTTTTTTTTTTTTGCTTACATTTTTTTATTTGAAAAATGTATTTAAAAGTCTTAACAATTTTTCAATATAAATTATGACTCTCAAACATGTTCCTATCACTTTATTGTTAAAGTGATGGAGCATACATGTAAGAGAAGGTAGCTCAAGGCAAGAGACCACCAAAGAGAAGACTGTGTTCAAAGAATAGGTATTAGGATGAGGCTGGAGGTCTGGAGTCCCCCTATCCTGTTACCCCTTTAGATCTCCAGTCTAGTGCACTCCTTAGGGCGGCAAGGTAGGCTGCTTTTAGAGCACCTAGATTGATGAAACAGAGTAAATTGGTAACAGAGTAAACTGATGACCAGTCTTCAACCCTAAAAACTGCAGGAAGTACATTGGAACCGGAAACATGGTAGAACCTCAGCCACTGTAGGTGGGGACAGACTGGATAGATGGTAGAATCAGCAAAATGGCTATCAGTTCCTACAATACTGACCCCACTACCATAAAACAGGCTTCCTATACCAGAGCTAATGATGCCAGATTTCTTGTCTTAGAGCAGGCAGGAACTCTTCTGTCTTATTCTGTCTAATTACCCTTAAAGAAAGGGCCAGAACAAAAAACAAAAACAAACAAACAAAAAAACACCTGAGAAAACTGAAAATGCCTAAAGACCCTGCTCTCCTACATTGCTCTCCCTTCTATCTAAAGCACTGTCTAGCCAGGTGAGAGTGGGACATGGTCTTCAGACAAAACTCCCTGAGTCTTATTTGTGTCTGGTTCTAGGACTAGGGAACAGAAATAGAACTTGGGGAAGACAACTAAGGTATGCCTGCTGCTTTTACCTCTCCTTTCTCCAATGCCAACACACCCTAGTCATGTCTCCACACTGCCCCTCTTCTACTGAGCAAGAAAAGAAGCATAGCTCATGTCCACCAGAGAAACTTGAACTCCTGCAAGCACAAGCAACACACTGAATAAAGATTGTGAGCAGCTCTTTTGAATATATTCTATAAGGGGGCCTGAGTCATCCACGGGTCAAGCTAAACATGAATGAAATCACTTAAGAGAAACATCTTTAGAGCTGTGCCTCTCAACTGTAAGTGATTTTTATCTTAGGAGGCATTTGGCAATTTCTGGAGATATTTTTGGTTGTCTTAACTGAGATGGGCCAGGGATGCCACTAAACAGCTTATAAAATAAGCTCTTCATTACAAGAATGTCTGTATGGAGGTCTTGTTCTAGGACCTCCCCGTGCTTGCATGCTATGAGAAGATCTTATGATCATTACTCTCTGATGACTGTTGCCCACCTACTCATCTCACCGTCCCTAAGGATGAAGTCCACTTCAAGACCACGCCTAGTTTTTCTGCAATCTGTGGCTTTCTATCCACCCCCTCTTCCTCCTCTCATCAGGGCCAGCAGGGAGGTTAGCAGAGGATATGTTAGGTCCTTCCAAGACTTAAATGGAATGTCATCTGGTTAAGAGCCACCTCATACCTCTTATTTAATGAAATTCCTAATAGGGAAGAGGTTGAGGACAGAGGTAGTAGCAGGATAGGGCTAATTGGAAGAACTCAAATTAAAACTTTTTTTAAAAAAGGGAACATTGTTGGGATGCTAATAATGCTAATACATGGATGCTAATAATGCTAATACAGGGTTAGAGGCCTAACTAGAGAAAAACCCTGATACTGGGAGAGTGAAACTGAGGAGCTTAAGATCTGAAATCTGAAGAGAAAGTGTGGACTAGGCAATGGTCCCCCTTCCAGCCCCCTGATATCTGCTTTAGCTCATTCCAGAAGGAAAGAGGTATACAGGGAAGTAGGGGGCTTCTCAGTAAAGCTGACTTCTGCTTTGGTAATCTCACCTACCTGCCCCATTTAAGGAACTCCAGATAAGAAGTTTAAAATAGTTGGTACCCAGACCATCATTCAGGAGAAGGGAATTCATTCCAGGTTTCCACAGAATTCCTAGCTCAGATCTAGGGTTTCCATTGCATTTTCTTAATCTTAAGATCCTGCTTTTTCAACCAAGGTCAGAAGACATTAAAGGGTAAAATATATTTATTCTTTCCCTTCTCCCATGGTTTCAATTTCCCTTTGAAGACAGAAAGTCAAACATGTGGCCTATAGACAAGAAATCAGAAGAAAAGAGAAGCCAGTGGTAGCAGATGACAAGTCGTCTTGAACCATTAGAATCATTTAAGGAAGTAGCAAGCCAAAGATCAAATTTCTCTGGCTTCTGGATTCTTCTCTGATTTTCTTCCTCTACGTCCCCAACTATGGTAAGGAGCAAAGCAACACTCATGAGCAACTCCTTGTTCAAGGTCTGCTTTTACTTAACACGTTCAGGGATGAGATGTTAAACTTTTTAAGCCCTTCGTATTATTAGTAGAGGTCCACTTGACTGCAATCATAATATGCACAGTCTTTAGTATGTATATACATCAAGCACCAGAACTTCAGGAGTCCACTCATTCCCAACATCTCACCCTGTGTCATCAAATAAACTGCCTTCACGTTTTCTCCAAGGGGGAAAACAAAACAAAACGCTAGCTTTCTTACTGTCTGAACAGAGCTTATATGCTCAAAACAGAAGCAGGATTTCTGATTTCTGAAACAAATATTACTGGTTCAAGATAAATTTGTTTTCATTTCTTAAGCCTCTCAAAAATATGCAGATTTGTGGTTGTAAAATAATAGCCCCAATGGCCATATTTAGAACATAAGGAGTCCTATTTAGAATACCAAGAGTCCTAGAATGGTAATCTAAACCTAGTGGTCACCTGACTGTACAATGTGATTTCCTTAGCATCCTTTGCTTTGTCTTATACACACTATTAATTATATTTGTCAATTGTCCATATTTGGTTTTCCTTAAACTTATCTTATTTAAGTCAAAGAAACATGTATGTTCCTATTTATGTATTTATTTATATTGGTTGTGGCTTGAACTCAAGGCCCAAGCACTGTCCCTGAGCTCTTTCCCTCAAGGCTAGGGCTCTACCACTTTGAGCCACAGCACCACTTCTTGTTTTCTGGTGGTTAATTGAAGATAGTCTCCTGGACCTTCCTTCCTTGGCTGGCTTCAAACTGTAATCCTTAGATCTCAGCCTCCAGAGTAGGATTACAAAAATGAGCCACCAGCACCCAGCTTTATTGTTTATTTTTAAAGGGGAGGGACAGGGTGTCATTTCTGTAGGCCAAGCTTCCACAGCACTAATGATCCTCCAATGTCTTTCTCTTGAGTACTGGATTATATACAGTATAAAAGTTTCCATGAATGTATTTGTGTCCCTAATAATTATACAAGATTCCATTCAATTTGCAAAACTAATTATGAGAAAAATTATGAGAGTATGAGATGGCATTCATTTCATGTAATTATATAAAATTTAAATATTATTCATATTTTAAAATGTGAAGAATAGCGGCCAGGAATGTGGCTTAGTGGTACAGTGCTTGCCTAGTATGCATGAAGCCCTGGGCTCAATTCCTCAGTATCACATACATAGACAAAGCCAGATGTGGTGCTGTGGCTTAAGTGATAGAGTGGTAACCTTGAGCAAGAGGCTCAGGAACAACGCCCAGGCCCTGAGTTCAAGCCCTAGGACTGGCCAAAAAAAAGAAAAGGAAAGAAAAAAAAGAATCAGCTCCTTCAACTGTCTTTTTTTGGGTAATAAATTCACAACTTTTATATACAATGCAATCTTCAGAATATCTTTTTTTTTTTTTTTTTTTGTCAGTCATGGGGCTTGAACTCTGGGCTTGGGTGCTCTTTAGCTCAAGGTGAGCGCTCTACCACTTGAGCCACAGTACCACTTCTGGTTTTCTGGTTTTTAATTAGAGATAAAGAGTCTCACGGACTTTTCTGCCTGGGCTAGCTTTGAACCATGATCCTCAGATCTCAGCCTCCTGAGTGGTTAGGATTACAGGCATGAGCCACCAGCATGTGGCTCCTTCAGAATATCTTTAGTGAAACCACAGAATATATGCCTTGAACCTGAGAAAAGTCTTTTATAAAATATTACTTAGGCATTTAAAATGTAAACTCTAACCAAGAATGGTGGCATGCACATGTAATCCCAGCTTTGAGGAGGCTGAGACAGAAGGATCATGAGAGTTGGACTATAAAGAGACCCTGGTTGTTGTTGTTCTGTTGTTTTGTTTTTTTTTGTCGGTCGTGGGGCTTGAACTCTGGGCCTGGACACTGTCCCTCAGCTCTTCAGCTCAAGGCAAACGCTCTACCACTTGAGCCACAGCGCCACTTCCGGTTTTCTGAGCGGTTTATTGGAAATAAGAGTCTCACAGCCTTTCCGGCCTGGGCTGGCTTTGAACCGCGATCTTCAGATCTCAGCCTCCTGAGTAGCTAGGATTACAGGCATGAACCACCAGCACCTGGCTTTTTTTTTTTTAAATGAAAGAAAAATCTAGTTGTACAATGTACAAGTCCTTGTTGATATTACACAAACAAGAGAGGATGCAATGTCTATTTCAAAAATTATATTCAATATTTTAAAAGCTGAAGCACAGCTGGGTGCAGGTGGCTCACACCTGTAGCCTTACTCAAGGCTGAGATCAGAGGATCACTATCTAAAGTGGAACTGTGGCTCAAATGGTAGAGCACTATCCAGCCTTGAGCAAAAAACCTAAGAGATAGTGCCAAGGCATGAGTTCAAAGACCAAGACTAGAACCCCCCAAAAAAGGCTAAAGCACAGGATTCTATTGTTTCCTGACAGCATAGTACTATTACAATATAAAGAATGGGGTGAATATATAATTGATGCGAGTGTTCATCAGGTTTGTGAACTCAAAAATAAATCAAGGACAATTTGAATCAGATAAATAACCAGTGAAATCCACTATCTAAACACTTCACATTAAGCATTATGTAAGTACCATTTACTTGATCATTTCCCTGAATCGGAGGCAAATTCCAAGAAATCTTGGCTGGCAGGCTAAGCGCCAGTATTCTAAGGGAAACAAATATCTGAAAGAAAGAAAAAAACCCTTCACAATAGTAAATTAATTTTCACTCAGGTAATACGCCTCTTAGTGCGGAACAGTATCTACGGCAAATGAGACAAACTTGAAAACAAAACAAAAAATTAAATCCCACAATGTAGCTATATCTGTACCACGCTTTAACTTATGATCTGCAAGGTCCAGCAGCTCACCTACAAGGCTGACTTAGGGGAGGAGAATGGTGTGGAAAGACAGTTTATATATCAGATTCTAAATTGAAATAACTGACTCAATTTAAGGCATTAATTTGAGTCCCTGACAAGTGTCTTTACAACTGCTCTGTGAATGTTAAAGATTTTAAAAGGTATAGCCAGGCACTGGTGGCTCACTTCTGTAATTCTAGCTTACTCAGAAGACTGAGATCTAACAATCCCAGTTCAAAGCCAGCCTGGACAGAAGAGTTCATGACACTTTTATGTCTAATTAGCTAGCAAAAAGCCAGAAAATGAGGTATGGTTCAAGTGGCAAAACACCAGCCTTGAGCAAAGAAAGCTAAGCAACAGCTCAAGGCTCTGAGCTCCAGGCTTAATACCAGCACACACAGAAAGAGGTATTACATGGTCTATGCTTTAGTGCATTAATACTGAACTCATTCTGAACTGAAACTTTTATTTGCAATTTTCCAAAAATGAAAAAAGAGTTTAAAACATAAAAAAGGTTATAGTGAGAATATGAAACTCCTCCCTTTTTATGTTGTGTGTTTTAGTAGCTGTGCTTAAATCTTCAAAAACTCAGTATCCAGGAGGAAGTTTACTAATGCGCCTGTCATTAATGGGGCAAGCAAGCCAGGCTTCTTCTGGGGTGAGAGCACATCTTTTTGTTCTTGTGTTATCTTCATCATGACAGGAGAGCAAGCAGTTTTGGAGAATCACTGCTACTATCTTATTAAGTAACACTTCCCCAGGTCAGTTTTCCTCGGTAAGAAAAATTTCCTTTTGCCCTTAGCCAAACCAAAACAAACTTGAAAAATACTCTAGTGGCTAGAAGCTGTTTCAGTCTATTTGCAGTCATACCCTTATCTCCTTCTTTCTTTTAATATAGATTCTTGAAATGGCAATCTACACTTGTTGCATTAGAGTTATTCACTACCAAACCCCTAAGGATTTGCTCTGCTTCCACTCTCTAATAATAGACTGGTTTTTTTCAATGGCCTTACTAAAGCCCAAGGATCTAAAATTATGAGTCACCCCTTACTCATTGGAACTTTCTTCTCCCTTGGGTTCTAAGACACTGCTCTTATCTTTGGAATCTTCAAGTCTCTTTCTTTCTCATATGATCTCATGTATTCTCGTAGCTATAATTAATATTATGATGGCAGCATTCAAATCTATACCTTTAGTTGTGGTTCCTGGACACTAAATCTATAATTTTAGTCACATTACAGACTCTTCACTAGGATATCCAATAGAAATCTGACACTCACCAAGACAGCACCTGGTGTTGTTCCCAAAACTGTTTGGCTTTTTACTAGTTTTACCTTTGAAAATGGCAACCCTATCCACCAGGTTCCAAAACTAGCAATACTTTACCTCCTCCCAAATCTAATATATTGCCAGATTGTTGCCCTGCCTGCCTCTCTTCAATTCTTACAGAATATTTCCATCAGTCCAAAAAGATCCCCCATGCTTCTTCCTGATAAATTCCTTGTCCTTTACTCCCATATCTGATAACCACAATTTCTTCTACCATCTATCATGTGTTTCACCTATTGTAG